ATAGTAGCTTTATGCATGCAAAGTCTCAACCAGATCGGATTAAGTTTCATACAAACTTTCATCCCCTATTGTATCCCCTTGGGGGTAGAATTAATTAAAATCCTAATAAATGATTTTCTATTCTATTCTACATTACATTCGAAGCAATAGGTATTAGAATCGAATTACACTATAGGATTCTTCAAGTCTATGGTGAATAGATATCTTCTGGGTTAGCGCGCTACATCCTAGGTCTTGCCATCATTTACCATCAGATGAGGTAAGACCAAGCGCAATCCCATTATTAATAAAAAAAATATATTTTTCTTTAAATAAACTTATTTGATGACTTCGGTCGTCTAGCGGTCTTTACGACCGATGGTCGCGGGTTCGATTCCTCGCACGGCACAAATATTTGTATTCATAAGTATGATTGTTTGTATCGGTCTGGGTGTTTTCTATGTATAATATGTATGTATTTACAAAAAAAATATCTATGTATATGTATCAGTTATCTAGTACCCATAACTCAAGCTTTAGCTAGCTTAACTTGGGTCTAGATGGCGCTGTGTGAATTGTCCTGAGATTATTATTATTATTCTTATTAAATAAACTTATAATGATAAATCACGAAATTCAATACCGAAATATGAACTATTAAAATGAACATCACTACGTAGGTATATAAAATTGTGTAGCAATCATGTACTGACTTGGACATTATGTATTCATGTATCTATATTTCATATACGTATATTTATTATAGCAACAGCCAGGACGTATGTACGTACCATCTGGCGCCTGCTACTGTAATCACAGTAATCTGATGTAGTAGGTACATTCTACATTTACATATTGCAAGCAAATACATGACTTAATTGTTTAACACTAAGTTCAATATCGTACTCTCAGTATCCTAATTGTAATTAATAGGTACATAAATTCATACTGATATATACATAGTTATACACGAAGTTATGTTTGTCCGTCGGTTTGTTACCTTTTTACGAGTAGGTAAATGACTGACAACGCTAGGAACCATGATTCCAGCAGTATGCTGGGTTCTGGTCCAGATTGTGTACTAGCTGATCCCGCGACTGCGTCCGCGTGGATTTTAATTTTAATTTCGTGCGTGGATTTTCGTATGTAACGTAGTGGAAATGTCGTCCAGTCAATAATGCGATTATATTGCCGCCATTTGACTTTGTCAACTAGCATTGCAATGTACATAAACGCAACTTTACATATCAATAAAAAATGTAACGATTTCGCAACGAGCCCACTGCACGTTTAATTCATTATAAATGTAACATATGACACTCTAGAATTGAACTGAGGTATCATTGCCCCACATACATACATATTTGGGTCAATAGAAACAAATAGATGGGATGCGACGTGATTGTGCACAGGCCCCTCTTTCTCACTGGGCACGTACCTAGGGCCCGCAATGGATTGGGGCGTCTACTCTAGTTTAGTCTCTACTCCATTTTTTTATTGGGTAGTTTGGGCTATTGTCAGGTGCCTGTAGCACCTGTAGCATTCCGACCTACATAGATCTATTGTTCTCGCCCTTTTTCAAAGTTCGCTACCTAGACCCGTGAGAGACAAGAATTGAAGGATATTCTCAGGAGCGATGGTTTTTATCTCCTCGGGAAAGAGTGTAAACTTTCCAAAGGAGATATTTCGTTTATGCATACATCACACTACACATCCTATGTGGTTGTAGCCCACTCGGGCTACAACCACATAGGATGTGTAGTGGAGTTTCCTCTTCAGTTTGGCAAAATCTGCAGATTGTTGTGCATAAGTTTAGTTTTGCCATATGTTTGTTTCTATTCCATTACTAAATGATAACCTTTAGCTACTCTCTCCTGAAAATCAGTCTTAACAAGTGCTTACCGACTATGGTCAATTTGTTCGTTTTTGTTAATTTACAAATTTATAAATGTCTAACAAGATCTTGAACCTCTCATCACATAACGACTTTTTAAAATTACATTTGTCTGTACATTATTTATATTATTAACCAGGTCTTAATACGAACTAATTTTGTGGCAAATAAAGGTATTTACCTCTCTCGACGTTTCGACGTCGATTGTCGATTGTCGACGTTAGGCTGCACTAGCCGTCGTCAGAAACTATATTTGCCTGGTTTCTTTTAAATGTAGAGCATCCCCACATATATATCTCTAAAGAATCATGCTCAAAAATGACTTTGTTTATTCTAACAAAATAGTGTTATATTACTATGGTCATATGGTCATATGGGCCCCATTATCGTAATGTGCCCAGGGCCTCCAATAGATGAAAGACGGCCCTGATTGTGCACTGCTCGTTGGTAGCAATTCAATAAATAGCTGTATGATGTTGCCGCACGAGGCGCGGGCCGCCGGAGCTCACCAAATGGTTCCACATTAATGTATGCTACTCAATTAATAAAATCAATGCCAACTCTGGTCAGTACGACCGATAATGGTGAATTTATTTTCATAATAATCAGTTATGTAGGTCATTTCGTCATAACATCAGTAACAGGATGAAACAAATGGTTGTCAGATATATTTTGTGTACTGTTATTAGAATAGAATAGAATAGAAAATCATTTATTGAAATAAACTTACATTGAAGCACTTCTGAATAGTCATCACATTTTTTTTTAATCTACCGCTTATTCGACAACCTGTCTCATCACAAGAAGAACGTGCAAAAAACTTGCGTGTTGCTCTTTTAAATAATTTTATTGTTACTTTACATTTTTAAGTTGAAATGTGCGAATACAAACTACCAATTGGCACTAATTAAATTAAATACTCAAATAAAAAAAATATTAAGTTAGTTAATAGAAATTGTAAAAAATGTTATTTTGGTGTATGTACCGTATTTTTATTCGTATGCATGTAGTAACAAACGGTTATTTCAATGTTACAAACAGACACTCCAATACTGTTTATATGTATAGATTACACCACATCCTTAGTAATTGAGGACTCTTTCATCCCTACTATTATACTACAAAACAAACTACCAACTAGCACTAATTTCTTATATTAGTGTCAGATATTAAATACACAATAGGATTAAAACAGTCGTAGTGATTAGAGCAGACCAGTCCCTACAAGCAGCACTCGTTCACGAGCATGACGTATGATGACATTTGTTTATAAGAGTAATGTTTTGTATATATCGCCTCAACTATAAGTAAGTATAATGATCTAATATCTAAAATATGAATCAAACAGATGGGTCTCGTGGACCGCACAGGGAATATGAGATCATCGCCTCGCTGTAGGTATGGGATACTGCAGCATCCGCAGTTTGATTTACTGTTCCATAACATATTATGTTGCAATCGGATATTACTGTTTTTTTTTTTGAGGGTTAATAATGGAATGGTGCACCCGCCTGCGCTAACGGTTTACGCTGGCGGGGCACCAGTGGAGAATGATAAGATGAGCATGAGGTCAGGTCAGTTAGCCCATCGTGCAAATTCACCAGGAATTTAACGCGATGGTTTCCAGGGGGAACCGCGTGGAGGTCGACCTGACATGGTACATTACTAGCAATGGGTTATCAATCCACATTACTAACAATCCCCCCAACCGGATATTGCTGTTAGGTTTTGCTAGTACCCATAACACAAGCTTTAGCTAGCTTAACTTGGGTCTAGATGGCGCTGTGTGAATTGTCCTGAAATTATTATTATTATTATTAATTATATATTTATTAAACTAGATACACTTACATGAACTACATACATATTATAAACTACATACATAATTTTAAAGTAAAATAAAATAAAGTAAATATAAATCAAAATGCCATAATGAATGAAATCTAAATATTGAGGAGGAAATCTTTTACTAGTTGTTTAAAAATACGAATGGACTTTTTTTTATTAATGGCCCATATTATAAATACATTACAGACTAACATTCATATGACTAGTATAATTATAAGAAAAGAAATATAAATTGTCTGTGTGATCACGGCACCGATGATGGTAATCTGCCACGGTAGCGCCGATACACCACACCCTTCGGCCAGTAGTCCTCCTTCATGAAGTTCGTTAGCATGTTGGTGGGAACTCGCGTTATGACTCCATTCCAGCTGCGTCACAGCGTGCGTTATGATTGTCTATTTATGTAATTATTTATTATTTGCTAAATAAATTCAATTATTTAAATAGCACTTAGATATCCGAGTCGGCATTCCTAATGTTTTAAGACCAGCTAAACGTGCGGTGCAGTGGTCACAGTAAATGCTGAGTTATAAACTGCGTCCCGATATTTTAGTTTACGAGTTTCAAACTTTAATGGAGCGGTCAACGGACGAGGAAATTGAAACGGTGTTAGGTTCGAAATAGAGCAGACATTTAATGTAAACACATGCTAAACCAGATCTCGAGGAATGGGATTGTTAGTAACGGGGACTAATGACCTTATTGCTGGATTTTTTTTATACTATTATGGGGCCGTTCAAGTATTACGTAAGCACTATAGGGGGGCGGGGGGTCTTTTCTTTGCTTATTTTGGATGACATGGGGGTGGGGGAGTCTGTATGATGATTACGTCATCGGTCGTAATTTACTTTTTTACACGAATGGCAACCCTCACATTGTCTTTGTTAAAAAAACAATACATTAATTGAGAAATGTTTACGTAAGCATGGGGGGAGGGGTAAGAGCTTTGCTTACTTTTGCTGACAACGGGGGATGAGGGGTAAATAATTGTGATAAATCTGCTTACGTAATACTTGAACAGCCCCTATAGTGACAAACAGGCATACAACAACATACAACATAAACCCCTCAGATGGTAAATGGTTACCGTAGTCTATGGACGCCCGAAACACCATGGGTGTCACTCGCGCGTTGCCGACCCTTAAGAAACCTTAATATACCCTTCTTGAAAACCCCCATGGTGTAGTCTCGTGAGAAATGGCGATAGCTACCAGTTCATAGCAGATGAACAGTCAATTTGTTTGTCATATTAATGAAATATAAATAAATATTGTTTTAGGTGAGACGCGATGAAGGGTCGGCTACTACTGCTGGCGCTGCTGGTTGCGGTCATCTGCACCGCGGATGCTGAGGTGAGTCCAATGCAGCTTATATAGAGACTAGCTTTTGCCCGCGGCTTCGCTCGCGTTAATTTATCCCCTTAGGGTTGGAATTTATCAAAATCATTTCTTAGGGGATGCCTACGTCATAGTAGCTTTATGCATGCAAAGTCTCAGCCCGATCGGTTTAAAATTGACAAAGTCTTATACAAACTTTCATCCCCTATTTTATCTTCTTGGGGGTAGAATTAATTAAAATCCTTTCTTAGCGGATGCCTATGTCATAACATCTACCTGCATGTCAAATTTCAGAGATCGCTATGTCAGTCAGTCACCTTTGAGTTATATATATTTAGATATCATTTTTGCTTGAAAGGATTATTTGTTTTTAATATATAAGGACGGGCATTTAGACGGCACGAATACAATGGTAAAGTAAAAGTATAACTTTACATAGAAATATGTAATATTATGTTTTTTTTATGGATGATAGTGAAATGGTGCACCCGCCTGCGCTAACGGTTTACGCTGGCGGGGCACCAGTGGAGGATGATAGGATGAGCACGAGGTCAGGTCAGTTAACCCGCATCGTGACAAATTTACTAGGAAATTATCACGATGGTTTCCAGGAGGAACTGCGTGGAGGTGGACCTAACATGGTCACATTGCTAGCCATTGGGATTACTAGTTCCCATTACTAACAATTCATTCCCCTCATTCCCATATTATGTTGTGTGTGTAGAAACATCGTCGTCGTCACAAACGACTGCGTAAAGTGACCACGACCACGGAGAGGACGGACGACGCGCTGGACGCTGTGGTAGACCCCGAGGACCCGGAGGCAGAGCACATCGAGCTCGGCAAGAGCGAGAGTCTCGATGAAAAGAAATTCCAGGTACCTTTTTCTTTTTTGGACTACTCCAATGCTGTTGGCCGCAGCTGGCCTTTACAGATTCACCGGGCACCGCCTAACGGATACGACTTTAGTCCGATGACACTGTTGGGGGTTCGAACCTCAGCTCAGGTCGTAATTTCGATCCCCGTTAGAAGTGGATGGGGGATCGATCGGAGGGGCGACCGGTGTGAAGTGCCCGGGTGCGCCCAGACGCCCGGTTGATTGCGCGGTATTGTGTGTTTGGGGTCATCGTCTTCGCCAGCGAGGACGGTGTCGTGTGTGTGGGTAAAACTATGGTCGGGACGGTACGGGTGGATAGGGAGATTAACTACCGTTATGGGGTCGTCCGGATCAATAAGAACGTAAGAAATAGAAATAGAAATAATCTTTAATCAAATAAACTTCATATAAGCACTTTTGAATAGTCAAGTTTTTTGATTCCACCGCTTGTTCGGAATGCAGATTCATCACAAGAAGAATAAGCAAGAAACTTGTGTGTTGCTCTTTTAAATAAATATTGATTTACTTATATTTAATTAACCACAAGGATTAGGCATGCGACAATCAACATAGAACTTAGCATTTAATCTCTGTTCAATCAGATAACATTGTCATCGCTTTGAATTTTAAGTTAGATATTTTCTACAGAAACATTATTATCATTTATAAACTCTTCAATTTTATAATAAGCTTTTTTACAAAGAAAATATTTTATAACACATTTGAATTTTTTTCTGATAAATTGAGTACAGACCCTGCAGTTTATTGTAAAACCTTACACAATTTCCATAAAACAAATTACTAACTTTCGTCAAACGGCACTTAGGTAAGACTAGTTTGTTGACATTACGTAAGCTTTTATTAGTGTAATCACCTACTTTTTTAAAACTGTTAATATTCTTCCTGGCATACACAATATTTTCGTAGATGTATTGAGAAGCAACGGTGAGGATATTTGATTCTTTAAAACATTCACGCAAAGACTCCCTGGAACCCTGGATTATACACCAAAATAACATTTTTTACAATTTTTGTATGTCTGTCTGTTTGTTCCGGTTAATCTCTGAAATGGCTGGACCGATTTTGACGGGACTTTTTTTGGCAGGTAGCTGATGAGTATGATAGTATAATATAATGAGGATAGATTCTAAAATAAAAGAAGCCGAAGTTACCTTCTTTTATTTTAGAAACAATCTTTTATTATAGAAAAATAAAGTTAAATTCCACGCGGACGAAGTCATTGGAACAGCTAGTATATATATAAAGCTAAACAGTTTGTCTGATTGAACACATAAATCTGAAAACTACTGAGTCGACTTTAAAAAAGATTTTTGTTGTAAAATCATCATTTGGAGCAGAAGAGAAAACTACGAGGATACAAAGTTCGCATTTGTTGTAGGAATCTGAAAGGGCGCGTGTACTCGAGCTGCTGAACGAAATCGCACGCCACAGCGACCCTGACTCGGAAAAATACCTCGATGGTAAGTTTTTATTTTTAAGTTTATACCCATACCACAGATAACATAATATTACATACCATACCCATTATCTTATAAATAATAATATTAATAATATATTTACTTATTAATATATTATTATGTAATTATATTACTAGCTGTCCCGGCAAACGTTGTTTTGCCATATAATATATTTAATATAGTACAGTTTATAATACTGTTACGAGCAATATGTGAAAAAATTTAGTTTCATAAATTAACGAATTTGATATGAAAATTTTCACACCTTTGTTACCTGTTACCTGCCAAAGGAACCACGATCCAGGTTTCATGTTTGGGGATCGTTCTTATCTGTGTTGGGGACACACATACAAGAACTTTCACATTAACTAATAAGACGCACCTATGTCTGGTCGTCGCGGGCTCTTGTTCTTATATGTCCATAACAATAACTGTACTTTTCAAATAGTAAAAGAAATGGAAGATCTTCAGCAATGATGACTGCTTAAATATGAAGTCAGATCAGATAGCCCGTCGTGACAAATTCACTAGAAATTTATTTATTTATATAACTTCAATGCACAAAATACCAAGGTAAAAGTACATATGGCGGACTTAACGCCTTACGACATTTTCTACCAGTCAACCGCAGGATGTGCAGAGAAACTGTAGGCGGTGCAAATTTAATCAATAAGTAAATTATACCTATGTCATAAATAATATATATTTACTAAACCTAAGTCATGTACTTAAACATACATATACAAATACATATAATATATATAAAGCTATAGATAAATATGAATAAAATACATACCTAAATATACCATATACATATCATATAACATACTTAATAGTCTGACAATGAAATAGCAACAGCAGATAGAACATAACAAAAAAAAAAAACAAATTCAGCAACTATAACATAGAAATGATGTACAAATAACAATGAGTCACGCAAAAAGATAAAATATTTATCACGATGATTTCCAGGGGTAATCCTGTGGATGTCAACCTGACATGGTACATTCGTAGCTATGTGGTCGTCAGTTCACATTACTAACAATATCCTTCTCCCCATATTAACGTATTGCGGCTACATTAGAATGAAATAGAATAGAAAATCCTTTATTCAAATAAACTTAATTTAAGCACTTTTGAATAATCATAACAATTTTTTTAATCTACCGCTCATTCGGAGAATTGTCTCATCACAAGAAGAACGAGCGAGAAACTCGTGTGTTGCTCTTTAAAGTAATACTTGTAAGATCACATTTACAAGTCGAAATGTGTATACACACTACATATTATGGTCAAATATAAATACACAATTAAATCAGTCGTAGTGATAAGAGCAGACCAGTCGCTACAAGCAGCACTCGTTCACGAGTATGACGTATGAGCCAGCTATCATTGCGTTCGACCATATTTTAGAGAGCCCAATGCCATGATTGTGTGTACACAGATCCGTGCCTGAAGGTGCACTGCAGCGCGGGCCGCGTGTGCGAGATAGACGAGCATGGGCAGGCCGTCTGCAGCTGCATCAAGGAGTGCCCCGACGAGACTGACCAGCGCAGGAAGGTACCTCTCACCATCCCACACACCATGCCATTTACGCACATTTAGGCCGGATTTCACCAAAGAAACTAATCACGTTTAGTATGAACTGAACTCGATTAAAACGTTTAAACGAGTTCAAAACTCATTTTGCATTTCACCGCTACAATATGAACTAGTTTTCGCTAAATTTGTTTACAAATTCTGAACGCCTTATTTTCTACGGTTAACTCTTTAAACGTCTTTAAAGTAGCTGTCACTTGTCAAAAAGTCATTAATCAAATTTATAACAAAACAATATCGGGAATAAAATGAAAATTGCCAGTAGTGTAAAACAAAATCCCAAAAAAATAATGTTTTACCTTATTTATATTTAAAGGTTGTTGTTATATATTTTTTAAATTAAAAACTATAAAACTTATCCTAATTATCACATGATTGAATTACAAATATTTCTATATATAAAATTACTTTAGTTAAATATCCCATTCCAATATTATTTTAAGCGTGTAACACTGTGAACGAATGAAAATCTAGACTTTATTTTAGTAAACGCGATCTATATAATGCTGGTGAATTCCATTTAATGTGAAAAGAGATCAACGTCGATCTTTTTATCGAGTTTACGCTGAACTCAGTTTACTTGAACTCGTATATACTGCGATTGGTGAAGTTCAGCCTTAGTCATCACTAAAAAACTTTATACATCTGAGTTCACATCAATATAGTAGAAAAATCCAATAATTTAAATGATATTAAAAGAAGGTAGTTTGTGTTTAGTACTAATGAAGTACCCAATGTAAAGATTATTACAAATATTGTAAATAACGCCATCTAGTATTTATAGACCGAACTAAGTTATTTGTCATAAGATATCCATTACCCCCGCTTCTCTTCCTACTACACTGACTTCGGTCTATAAATGCGGAGGTCGGTAGTTGAATAATCCTCTTTCGTTGAGTCACGGCATTCAATCGACGAGCGCAGAGCGTGCCGGTTGTGTTTTGGGTACTTAAGTGAATTATATTAGAAATGGGTTTATTACGGTCATAATTGGACCTGGGGGGAAGCTGCAAGTAGTGAAGGTGAGTGTTAATGCATTCTAAAAGGGCCTTTTAAACCTACACCCGTGTCACATGTCACGGGCGCTACTTGGGGTTCCCTTCCGGTAGCTGGCTTCAAAACCTAAGTCGACATCATTTATTGGTGCTTCTTACAGGAGTGTTTGTGTGTTCGTAGGTGTGCACCAACTACAACGAGACGTGGTCGTCGGACTGCGAGGTGTACCGCGAGCGGTGTCTGTGCCTCGACAACTCGGAGCTGTGCCGCGGGCCCCAGTACCACCACGTGCAGATCGAGTACTACGGCACCTGCAGACTCATGCCGGTCAGAATTACATTCCTTGACTCACCCCCCGACACTAACAACTCTAAACAATGGGGGGAATGTGGATTGATGATCTTATTGCTAGCAATGTACCATGTCATCTTGACCTCCACTCGGTTCCCCCTAGGAACCATCGTGATAAATTAGTGGTGAATTTGTCACGATGGGCTGACTAACCTGATCTCATGCTCATCTTATCATCCTCCACCGGTGCCCCGCAAGTGTAAACCGTTAGAGCAGGCGAGGGCACCATTCCATTATCTATACATATACATAAAATTGGAGTGTCTGTTTGTAATATTGAAATAACCCTTTTTTACTACATGCATATTAATACAAATACGGTACATACACCAAAATAACATTATTTACAATTTGTCTGTTTGTTCCGGCTAATCTCTGAAATGGCCCCTGTTGACGGATTTTTTTTGGCAAGTAATTTAGGCTACTTTCAATTTAGAGAAATAAATTTAAATTCCATGCGGACGAAGTATCGGGTACAGCTAGTCATCCATAAAAAAAACAGGGTTTATTTATGAATGTTGTGTGTGTAGGAATGCGGCGAAAACGAGATGTCAGACTTCCCGCGGCGCATGCGCGACTGGCTCTTCAACATAATGCGCGACATGGCCGAGCGCAGCGAGCTCAACGACCACTACCTGCAGATGGAGCGAGAAGCGGAGTCTAACCTCACGCGCCGCTGGACCAATGCCGCCATCTGGAAGTGGTGCGACCTGGACGCCCACGACAACGACAGGTACCAACACCACTACATGCCACCACCCACAATTTTTTTTTTGTTTCGGTTTTACCCATCTGTCCGTCTTTTTTGTGTATCCTCAATTGTTCTCTCCGTTCTAGTTATGTCTTATAACCAACCGGCAAGTAGTCCTGTCAAACAGGGGCGGATTGTGCATTTGTGGGGCCCTGGGCTGGGCAAAATCTACATAGGGGCCTACATAATTATATATATATATATTATATATATATAGATATATTACACAATTAAAAAAATACACCGAACAACAAGCGACCAGAAACTCCCTTTCGATAGACGCGCTAATGCCTGGGTGGATTGATCTCAGGGTTGCCAACCTTATGATAGGTTTTTTAACATTCTAGATATTTTTTTATATTGTAGATATCGTTTCAGTGGGGATTGGGGGCCCTTTATATCCTCGGGGCCCTGGGCTGCAGCCCAAAAAGCCCTTAGGTAGATCCGCCCCTGCTGTCAAAAGATGCCACAACAAAACCTGACGTACAGTAGATGTGTTCTTGGCTACAGTGTATTAGAGTTTGTTTGTGTGTTGTAGATACGTGTCTCGCCACGAGCTGTTCCCAATCCGGGCGCCGCTGATGGCCCTGGAGCACTGCATCGCGCCGTTCCTGGAGCTCTGCGACGCTGACGATGACCACCGCATCACGCTCGCTGAGTGGGGCAAGTGCCTCGAGCTGGACGAGGTGACTACCTCACTACCCACTAGTCACAACCCATACCGTGCTTCAAATTTAAGAACTGCAAAAAAAAACTACTGCCTGATTTCTACATCCCCTAATTTTATGACTTTTCACGAAACACTTAAAGTTACCAATAAAATATAAATAAACCATAGTAATTAAATAATAATACTATATTACGATATCAGTGCGTTATGATGGTTATAACACACGGAAATTCACCCCGAGCAGGAGGCGAGGGTGTAATACAGGCGAGTGTTAAATACGCACGTATGTTTTACAACACACTTGATTTTAAATAAACTCCACCATAAAAGTGTTTGTTGTGTTGCTTTCCCGCCGTTTTACTTTTTTAAATCAGCGCGACCTACTGGTCGGCGCTTCGCAGTGATCAGTTCGAAATTTGAAAAAAAAAAGCAAATAGTGCGTCATTATTTGCATTTATAACGCACGCGTGTTGTATGAGCTATCGACAATCGCTGAAATTAGATCATATGGTACAACCTTTGGATTCTTAGAATGTATGTGGCTTTTTTCTTTTAATTTCTTATTACATTAGTAGGAAACACTTCAACAAGGCGAATAAGATGTTCATTACACTTGCTTGTAAGCAAAGGTTTGAGTTTTCCAACCTAGTTCGGTTGCACCATCATCTGATTCCGTTCAATCTCTAGCAGTCCTAGTTTTACTCATTTATGTCTAAACATATCGGTGTCGTCCTACAGTGACGACCTTTGCGGCCTAGCGGTCTAGCACACCGCTTTACGACCGATGGTCGCGGGTTCGATTCCTCGCACGGCACAAACATTTGTATTCATGAGTATGATTGTTTGTATCGGTCTGGGTGTTTTCTATGTATAATATGTATGTATTTAGAAAAAAAATATCTATGTATATGTATCAGTTACCTAGTACCCATAACACATGCTTTAGCTAGCTTAACTTGGGTCTAGATGGCGCTGTGTTAATTGTCCTGAGATTATTATTATATACCATAAACAATCGTATAAGGAATTATCGTATAGTTATTTATCAAATTACTTGGTTATAAATTAGATGACATGTTGTTCTTTTTCAATATTGAAACAGGAATATAGCCACTACAAAAATGATCCACTTTACGAGCAAGTGTCGAAACAATATTAAATAAATAATAAGAATAATTAAATAATAACTAAATGTATTTGTTTCCTAGTCGGAGCTAGAGGATCGATGTGACGAGTTCGTCGACGATGGAAAGGTGTAAAGCTGCACTCCGCCCGGGCCGACGTTCGACCCGGGTCGGGCCAGATCGGTCCAGCTCGGTCCGGCTCGGCTCAGATCGGCCCGGCTCGGTCCAGCTCGGCATGGTCCGGTTACTACTCACACTGCCGTTACTTTGTAATTCACTTATTAATTAAATATCCAGTTTTAGTGTTAGATCAATATAAATGTATTATTCTCACCTCTTCTCCTCTCATCTCCCACTTATAGGCCAGTGTAACCGCACGGTTGGAATGGCCGTTAGTGGAGTTCACTCTCAAAATCATGGCATAAAATCCTAATTTCATTTTTCTGTTTTCGGATCTTAGAATAAAGTTATTTTATTGTACCACATAAGTGCCTAACACCTGAGCTAAACTAGAAGTAGGATTAATTAAAAAAAAAACACGATTAAAATGTTTTTAATATTTTTTTTACTTGCAACACTATATGAACGGTGTAAGTACTTAAGTTGCTTAGAGCTGCAAATGGTAGAATCTTGTACCATTATAAGAGATGTGAATATTAAAGACGAGAGTTACAGGCGTTATATGATAATGTTGCCATTAAAAAAATTATGTACATGAATATGTGTATTATGTATAACATAATCTATATATTACCAGTTTATTACATCTGTTTTAATTTACAATAATAGCTACAGAGACAAAGAGATAATAACTATAAAGCTATATGAGCCGCGGTTTAGTTTTAAAATGCATTTTTTCTTTGACTTATTACTTAAGCAGCATACTTTTAAATAGCAGTACTGTGATTGTCGAACCAAATTAATAATGTTAGATAATAAATGATTCTTTTTTAATAAATAAAATACACCAATATTTTACTGTATGTTTTATTTTAACACAAATTAATTCAAATTCAAAATGTATTGTAGGTTTTTTACAGACTCTTATGATATTTAACACAAATTAATTCAAATACAAATATATTTATCATGTAGGTCTATTACATACTCTTATGATATGTCAAATCTACCGTCAGTTCAGAATGATTTTGAGAAGAACTGACAAGAAACTCTGCTCGTATTCTTTTCAAATAAATGTTGTACATGTTTACAATAATTCAGATTTATTTTTAAATTCAAATTTGGGAGAATAGTATGACTACCAGCATATGCTATTGCAAAAGCAAATAGTGTAATCAGTGTTCGTAACGTAAACGGAGCAGTCCCCATAAGCAGCACCCGGTCACGAGTATGACGGATGAGCGAGTCATCATTGCACTCAACCATATTAGAGGGAGCACGTTCACTGGACCCACGCCGCCGTAATAAGAGAGATGGCTTTAGGCTTGCCTTCTGCCATATTGGTTTCAACTATATCGAGCGAAATGTGGGCATGTCAAATTTACGTTGAGTTTATCTATATATATAAATAAAATATGTACGGTACATATACCAAAATAACATTTTTTATCATTTTTGTCTGTCTGTATATCGGTCTGTTTCGGTAATCTCTGAAATGGCTGGACCGATTTTGACGGGACTTTTTTGGCACGTAGCTGATGTAATAAGGAGTAACTTAGGCTACTTTTATTTTAGATTTTTTTTTTTATTAAATAAATATAAAAATAAATTCCACGCGGACGAAATCGCGGGAACAGCTCTTAAACATAACATAAACAATAACTCTAACTATCCATTATTCAGAAATAATGGTTGTGACGGTAGTTTGTCTGTATATAGATAGATAGATATATCATTTATTTGTTTGTTACTAATCACACACAACATGTAGATATAGACAATACATAATACACAATAGACAATACATAATACGACATAAGATTTATAAAATTGTGTTATTATGTGTGATCTGTAGCAATACAAGGTCGAAGCTCAGCGTAGAACATTGTTCAACGAACAAAACACTGATTTACAGCTTCAACCCATTTGAGGGTACTTGAAAATAATAATTGAAATAAATATAAAATAAAAAGAGCAATATTATTGGTGACTGTCTGTGCGGAGTGTGTATAATAAAAATAATATACATAAATAGTTCAGAGTATAATTTGATATAATTTTAACTGAGTGAAGTAGAAGTAAGGATTAAACGAAAAAAAAAAAGAAAATATTTTTTTTTTCCTCTCCTCCTCCATCTTTGGCTTTGCCTTCGCATTTTAAGAGTAACATAGAAAAAAAAATATATTAAAATCATTACGTGAGATTGCAACCGCTAGCCAAGAAATTTCTGTGGAATGCCTAAAATTTGTTTTTTTTTTTAATAAGTATTCTATGTGATGTTTTTCAAAACTGTGTACCGTACACAGTCAGATGCCTAAATGGTGGCGGGATGTTGTTCAACATTTTGTTACTTGGTAGCGGAAGCTGCCAGTAAATGCCACAGTTCTGTGTACTTGAAATGATAATTTCGAACAAATGAATCTGCATCCATACATATGAGAAAAGAAATTTACTTTTTTAAAGAGATAAACTGGCTGTTCACTTTTTATTACATCCAACAATGGATAGATATATATATACTATCGACCCGCCCCGGCTTCGCACGGGCGCGATGCTGTTATATATATACCTACCTACTACAGAATGTCCTTATAAACAACATTTGCACCTTTTTTGTATCATTAGACAGTACAAACATGCTTTGTTTAGCGCCGCCGCGCCGGCCGCCGGGCCGGTGGTACCGCGACACCGCTATGTCCCTGCATTTTAAATCTGTAATATCTCTGGAAATATTAATTTAAATTACACGGTGTAAAGGGCCATATTGATCTATATTAAATGGACAATGTATTTAATGTACTTAATTGGATAAAAATTAATGCTGTATTGCTTAAAATCACTTCGTTATTAAGTCATTTTTTGTCAGTAAAATGTAAAAGATAAAAAATTGTTATTGTGGACTATCTTTAAGAGATAGTCATATACTATCGCCGACTATTTTGTTGACCTTTTTAAGGTGTACAATACTGTAGAACATTATTTTGATATATCTCGTGGGGTTCAGCCAGCGTTTTCAATGTTATCATCATCATCATCATCTCAGCCCGGAAGACGTCCACTGCTGGACATAGGCCTCCCCCAAAGATCTCCACGACGATCGGTCATGCGCTGCTCGCATCCAATGCCTTTCAGCGATCTTGACCAGATCGTCGGTCCACCTTGCAGGAGGCCTTCCACGGTCGCGACTCCAGGACTTTACTGCCCCAACGGCCATCTGTCATACGAGCTATGTGCCTTGTCCATTGTCATGTAAGCGTAAAAAAATATTTATTTACGACATCGCATTAGAAACCTCTAAATTTATCAGTGTTTGTCTACAATATTATGCATGTATTAGATTTATCATATAAATCTTCCTCTTGAATCACTTTATCTATTTAAAAATCGCTTCGTAGTTTTAAAGATTTAATCATACATAGGGACCGACGGACAGCGACAGCGATTTCATTTTATACTGGCTGTTCCCGCGACTTCGTTCGTGTGGAATTTAACTTTATTTTTCTAATATAAAAGTAGCCTAAGTTACTCCTTATTACATCAGCTACCTGCCAATTAAAGTCCCGTTAAAATCGGTCCAGCCATTTCAGAGATTAGCCGGAACAAACAGACAGACAAACAGACAAAAACTGTAAAAAAAAATATTATGGTGTATGTACCGTATTTATATTCATATGCGTGAAGTAAAAAACGGTTATTTCAATATTACAAACAGACACTCCAATTTTATTTATATGTATAAATTATTCGTACAATACATTATCATTTAAATAATAATTTGTGGAATAATAACATTTATTTAGTAATTCTTTAAATAAATTACTTTTAAATTGTTTATTGTTCAAATTTCTATAATTGTCTGGGAGATGATTGAAAATTTTTGTGGCCATACAATATACGTTAATTGAAAAAAGTGCCAACGTTTGTTTAGGAACATGTAGCATATATTTATGTCTACTTCTACTTTCTGGAATGTCACAGTTTCTATTAAATGTATGTGGGTATTTGTCAACGAACATGCACATTTCATATATATACAGACAAGGTAGAAGGAGATTATTACGTTTTTTAAATATTTTGTTTCAGTTTTTTTAATATTAAGTTTTATGTCAAAATATATATCCTAAAAAGTTTAAATCTTACAAGCTAATATTACCAATAGTTACTATAAGAATCGTATATCTACTATAAAATTTAATTGGTTTTGGAGTGTATTAGCTCGTAGATCTAATTGTAATTGCAACTTTAAGATAGTTAATATAAAATTGCAACACCTTTATACATTAAGTACAATGTAGGGACTACTATACTAATAACTAACTATATAATTGATAAAATTTCCAAGTATTCGGTAAATGACAAAATCACACAATAATAATTAATAACAATAATGTGTATGTAATCAAAGTACAAATTACGCAACACAATCTCCATAGTTCCACATCATCTTTCGTAGAATTTCACTTATATGTACATATAGTTCTGCGTAAAATGAAACGCATAAACAATTTAGTACATAATATATACACCAGTGGCTTGGCAGCACTGTGATAACCGCCATTTTTATTGATTCTGATTGGTACAAACGTACAACGCTGATTACTACGATTGGTGGACTTTGGAACAACGTTCTACGACATTTCCGTTTGCGTGCTGTTGGCCAACCTGTGGGCGTTGCGCGGCAGCGGCGCTGCCATCTTTGTGTGTAGTTGATATAGCTTGCCGCCTTTCCTGTGTTGGTTTCCTCAGACTAGTGGTGTTGTGAGTTACACGTTTCAAAATGGTGAGTTTTGCAAGATTTCGTGAAATATAGTGAGTGTAGTGAAGTTTTTATTGTGTGATTCGGTGCCTAGTGATGTAATTAACGAACTAGCGAAGTTTCAGGTCCGTAGAACAAAAATTAATGGGTTTTTTCGATAATTTTAGGCTGGTGGTAAAGCGGGTAAAGATTCAGGCAAAGCCAAGGCGAAAGCTGTATCCAGATCAGCGAGGGCAGGATTGCAGGTATGTTATAAACCTTTCTTAATTTATTTTGTGAATTTAGAATCTAATTCTAGTACTTAAATACTTTCATAACAATATTTCATAAAATTTAATAATACGCATGACCTCTATTATGGCGGCTACTGCTTAACTTTGTTCTAAGGGAAATAATCAATAGTTAGTCCAAAATTATCATTTTTATATTTTCAGTTCCCCGTGGGAAGAATTCACAGACATTTGAAAAACAGAACAACTAGCCATGGTCGTGTTGGTGCCACAGCGGCTGTTTATTCTGCAGCTATTCTCGAATATCTCACGGCTGAAGTAAGTACGCGACGCCCTATCAATATGGCGGCCACTGTTATAACGCAATTAACATTAAAATCGTCAGATTTTTAAAAATCAGTCCAAATTTAACATGTATGTTTAATTTTTGTTTTTATTAATTGAATTATAATCATCGGTATTTAATTTTTCATTAATGGATTATTTGTTATTGATATGATGAAATTGGCGGGAAAATGTAGCACCATGAAAATGTTTTGCTCCGCTAGGATTTTTAAATAATTATTCCTATTACTAGGTAATAACTGTATCACTAGCGTCTTTTTCATCGGAGTGCATTTATAGAAAACTTTCCAGTTGTATATATGACTTTCCGTTTTACTTTATTTAAAGTTAAATTAACAAATTTCTATTAATATATATCTGTGCCGTTTTTGTAATAGTGTGTGTGTTTGTTATATATTACATTTACTGATAAGTGTGTATTTAATCAAGAATTACTGACTTTCTAATTAACTTTTGATACAACACTTACTACTCAATGTATAATAATTTCACAATATTAATGAAGCATTTGATACTTGATTATATCTGCCTACGAATTATGGGACAACTCTTACCATATAATTACTACACACAGAATTAATTACCTTTATTTTAGTACTAAATAGGTGCTTTAATATAAAGTACTAGCTTCGTCCGGGTGTACATGTATTACACATATAAACCTTCCTCTAAAATCACTATCTAATAAAAAAACCGCTTTAAAATCCGTTGCGTAGTTTTAAAGATTTAAGGATACATAGGGACAGATGGACGCCGACAGCCACTTTGTTTTATATATATATTGACGGGAAGTCATACACAAGGACAATAGTAAATAGAAGGTATTTTAATTAAAAGTTTAATATATTTATTTATTAATATTTAGGACATTTTCTGCAGCTGACATCAACACTTATCACTGTGTGTTGTTGGCCAATTGTAATTGGTCCTGTAGGTTAGATAATATGCTGATAGAGCAACCAATGGACATCCGCAACATAAATTATATATATCCGGATAAAAAATATATCTAATATAAAAGATATATTTGGATACTAAGTTTGCTAATTATTTTTTTTTATTATAAATGTCGGAGATGATCTTAAAAACTAAATATTCTGTTGCTCTTTTCAAGACTACAGTATTAATTTACAAAGAATATTCAAATATTTTATGTATACACATGGTATCTAAGTATATATAGAAAAAATTAAGTTGCTATCAAGTCACTCATACTTAACTAACATCTACATTCAATATAGTATTCTAATAGTTGAAAGTTGATATAACTATGTAAATAGATTTAGTCATTACCCATATAACAATTATAACATTATGTGTCAACATTATTACTAAGTAGCTGACCCTACAAACTCCGTTCTGCTTCACAATTAAAGGAGTTATGAAATTTAGTAAAGCAAATAAATTTTTGAACGCACCCTGTTTGAGACTGTTTGTATGGGAAAATAAAATTGTTGTTTTTACTATTCTCCATGCAATTTCTTCATATTCTATCATCCCTGGACTTCCATGAATATTTCAAGACTAAAATCAGCCAAATTGGTTCAGGCATTCTTTACTTTTCGCAACACTAACATAAAATGTTTGTAATATTCATATAACAATTTTTTACTACATGCAAATAAATACGGTACATACACCAAAATAACATTTTTTACAATTTTTGACTGTCTGTTTGTTTGTTCCGGTTAATCTCTGTTTGGCAGATAGTTGATGTAATAAAAAGTTACTTATGCTACTTTTACTTTAGAAAAAATATTTTATTAAGTTAAATTCCATGCGGATGCTAGTTCCAAATATGTGTAGTTACTGACAAATTTCATCACCAGTTAAATGACACAATCACATAGTTAAATGACTAAGAGATAACAAACAATTGAATTATACACAGTTTACAATAACTACAAAATATCTATATCCAGGTGCTGGAGTTGGCAGGAAATGCGTCCAAGGATCTCAAGGTGAAACGTATCACACCACGTCACTTGCAGCTCGCTATCCGCGGTGACGAAGAATTGGACAGTCTGATCAAAGCCACCATCGCCGGTGGTGGTGTCATCCCACACATACACAAGTCACTCATCGGTAAAAAGGGCGGTCCAGGAGCACCCGTCTAATTAAGGTAATATCTGTTAAACACCACACCACATTTGTTATATTTAATATGAAATGAATTAGTTTTAGCTTTTCAAGTGAAAAGCAGTTGTGTTTCCTTCACGGGGTTCCCCCTGGAAACAATCATGGTTAATTCTTGGTTATTTAATCATGATGGGCAAACTGACCTGACCTCATGCTCATCTTATTATCCTCCACTGGTGCCCGCCAGTGTAAACCGCTAGCGCAGGCGGATACACTATTCCATTATCATTCATGAAAAAAAAAGGTAATATTTGTTTAACAAAGCAGATATTATTATATTTATAGATATTTGTAATATTTATTATGAAATTGATTAATTTTTGTTACCTTTTCAAGTGAAAAGCAGTTGTTTTTAAAATATATTATTTAACAAGCAGAGCCGGCCACGCATTGTTGTGGCTAAGGTTCTTGAATAAAATAATATTGCGACTATAAATTGAGATGTAAGCTATCCTATCTTTCAAGTTGGATCAAATTGCACACAATTTGTAATCGATTCAGTAGTTTAGGAGTCCATCGCGGACAAACAACGTGACACGTAATATTTATATATAAGTATTGTAGAACTTGTTGCAGATCGGTAATGTTACTGGTGGAAACTAGTGTTGCCATATTTATTGTTGACTTGCTATTTTTTGACTAGTTTATTTATTTTTCAGGTATCATCGATACATTTCACACTGCATTTGATTCCGGACGTGATGCAACCAGCTTCTAATATTCATCACCGATTGGTAACCTAGTTGTCTTCAAGATAGTGATGTTGATAGGGACAGTGGAGTGATTAACAACAATTAAAAACTGTTGGTCCGGACTTACTGGTAGTTCGTAAGGATTAGTACTATTCTAGAATTAAGGAGATTTAAATATGATTGTATTAGAATTAAGTTTGACTTTCATGGTTTGTTAATGGGACATTATATTCTGCTGAAGAAATGTACGATCATTTCTTGCTCTGTTAAAATTATTTTGCTACCAGCTGCTAGAGACGATGCAATGTGTGGACAGCAGATAGCTTTACACACACATACTGTCCGACTGAAGCTGGTGCAATATAATTTTACTGGTATCTGATGACTGGCGCAACTTTTTAATTTGTTTTTAAGCTGGAAGCTGTTGTAGTAATTATTTACGCCATTTTGTATTTTTTGTGACATTTTGTACTAAAATAAATACATATGTTGTTCTAAATTGTAATTTGGTATGATTGAACTGTTACGAGTTGTAAGAAAATGTATTTTGATCTTTAAAATATAATGATGAAGCACGCATATGTTGTATTTATTGTGATCCATGTAATTTATAAACAGTAATAAGTGTTTTGAGCGATACGTCTTAAAAGAGCAGGCGATGTCGCGAATTATAGCTTAGTAAAATTATTTATGGTAAAATCATGAGGGCATTCGAAAATTAGACATAGGTAGTAATTACAAAAACTTAAAAGATTCGTCTTTTTTCTTGTTTCGTTAAATGCAATTAAATTCCCAGGTCCTATATGATTTTATTTTTCATTACGCAGTTATAGAACTGAATTTTAGGGAAATGTTTTCTTCCCGCGACGTATGCATGACCATATAGGAAATTGTACCTATATAGCATTACGTATAAGTTCATGTTTGCGGTAAATCGGTACCATTCAAATTTAAAAATATTTGTTCATATTCTATTACAGACTCATATGTTAAATCTACCATAGCGCTATGATTATCACCTCGACACTAGCGTTATATATGATGCGAAATTCTGAGTATATAAAAACTACTGAATGGATTTTGATGAAATTTTACAGTAATAAAGCTTATACATCAGAATAACATAGGCTACAAATCTCATGCGGGCGAAATCGCGGGCACAGCTAGTTATATTTTTATTAGAGCATTCCGTTAGAAGATGTTAGGATATTGATGTTCTACGGGTAGCATAGTGAGTATACTAGTGAAGACATTCTACATTAATAAGTTCATTTAATAGTATTACTGATATTACATAGTATTACTATACGCCAAAGAGGGTTGGTGTCAGGCAGACGGCCGACCGTAAAAACTTATGCAGTATGGAGACATACTGCGCCGACCCCAAATAATGAAATAAAGGCAAAGCAATGATTATAGTATTGCTACATGGGGTACTGGCACCAGTAGTCAGCCTTTTAGTGGTAAGTCTGGGTTCAAACTTATATAAGAAAATATTAGAAAGAGTAAATTGAAAGTCTTTTGTATAATTTAACTTACTTATTTATTAAACTTTGTTACAAAATTAACAAAAATTACAAATTTATCCTTTAATAAAGTGAAAAATACTTTTTAACAAAATAAGGCACTTTTCACCAGTGCTCAGCCGCCAAAAACTAGTACTCAGCCATATTGCCACCAGTGGTCAGCCTCTCTTAAGATCAATAGTTTCAAGCTTAAAGATTAAGAACATTAATAAATAATTAGTCCGGTCATAGAACCTAAAAGGACTTAACTGTGCCCTAACAATCACAACAATCAAATACCTATCTAACTTATATTTAAATCAGTCGGAAACTTCTTTAGTAACATCAGTATTTAAAAAGATTTCAAGTTCTTCTTCTTTCTAAAAGTCGCCGATTAACAATTTTTTTAGGAGCTTATCTTCCTTACAGGTCCTTCTCCTTCTGTGTCAGGAGTTTCAGGATATAGAAGTATATTACTGAGAATTTTAATTTTATTTTGTTTTGATTTCCAATAAATCACAGCCTGTCTTTGTGCATTTTACGCTCAATTCCTAATTATAATCATAATTTTTCTTCTTTGTAGTCTCCTTCACTTTACTTTTGGTAGAATCTAGAGCTGCTTTTTTTCTTTTTTTGTATAAAAAACTATATAAAAAACAATTTAAATATGGACGGTTGAACACTGGGTCTACTGTCACCAGTACTCAGCCATGCAACAAACTCTAACTATTTAAGTGGCCGACTATTGGGTTTTTGACAAACAGCGTTAAAACCAGTAGTCAACCAGGGGTGGTTGAGTACTAGATAATGTATATAAAAATGGGACCCAGTAGTCGGCCACTTCATTATTTAATAATTCTTAAGAAAAACATGATACTTTTCATTGATTACAATGCCAAAACTATTAATTAATGTAAATTTTAATACAATGTGGCCTAAAATTAACAAAATAATGAAATAAATTACCGTTTCTGTGAACGCTTCTCACTAATAAAAAAATGGCGCGCACGCCGCATGTCGCCTCGTCAGCCGATGACGTCGAAATAGATTCATATTTAATGTACTTCGCAGCCACGTAGCTATTATGTTTGGATTTAATTATAGCAATGAGAAGTCATAGAAGCTATTTAAAATAATTTGATTAGGTATTTTCTATTATAGCGCTATTCCTATTGGTTTTAAACCGAAAAAGGCTGAGTACTGGTGCGGGGCCGACTACTAGTGCCAGTACCCTGGCTCTTCAGTACGCGTACGACGCGGAATCGTAACGTTACACTTAACTTAAACCTATGTCAATAAATCATTTAAAAAAATAATCTAACGGAAAGATGGCGAGTGTTGACAGAAACATTACAAGTATAGGCACAATACCATATAAGGTCCATTTCCCGTGGACTCAGCCAGGCGACGCCCTCGATAATCTTTTTCATACAGAACGGTTACACCCTATAGCACACTGTTTATGTATGTTATTTTTTGTGTGGACTGTCGAGTATTATTTTTCTTACGTACCTACATTAGCAAGTATCGTAGTTAGTTGGTACTTGGTTGTAATCTAGTTGGCACTATGTGAGTTGTACATAGTAATTTATTTAAAATTAGACCAGATTGATTCAGAAAATTATGATACATTATTAAAAATTTGTGATACAGTCTCAGAATTATGTCGCGACATTATGAAACATTATACTAGTGCAACTGAAAGTAGAATGTGAGATTGTCGTTTCGTGGCGAGAAATCCGTATGATTTGTGGCCATTACTAAATAATTCGAAAGGAATATTTTGTAAAGTAACGACAGTGACTTATAGCAAATGAAATCTACAACTTAACGCAGAATAGTTTACGCAAAGCTATACGAGATGGCGCTAATATGTTATAATGTCATTAACACACAGATAAAAATATTTTTATCTGTGTGACATGCATTTGACATGTGAGGCCCTGATCTGTGCTGTACTCTATTCTGAGTTCTTGGCTTATTCTCTACTTTTGTATAATTATCTGTTTGCTTATCATTATTTCATTAATTATTCTAATTTCCTTGTAATATAAATAGAGAAGTTATTCCTTAAACACAAGTGTTATACTTGAGCATTGTTCGTTATATTAAATTCAGCAAATAGAAGTGATTAGTGTTGTTTAACGTGGGAGTACAACTTGTTGACTTGTGCTAGTTTACGTGTGTGAATATGAGTTCGAGACACCGTGACCGGAGTCGCTCCCGTGATCGCCACAAGGATCGGGATCGCGAAAAGAATCGGGACCGCGACAGGGATCGTGACAAGGATCGGGACAGGGACCGGGACAGGGACAGGGACAGAGACAGAGAGAGGGACAGAGGGCGAGACCGCGACAGGGGCCGCGATAGAGACCGCAGCCATCGTTCCAAGAGGTTACTTATAAAATTGTTTATTACTAATAAAAACATAATCTTGTAAGTTAATTAATGCTATTGGCTGCATTGTGAGCAATGGAGATACTAAATTGACTTTCAGATGGTCTATTTGGAACATATTGTGTAAATTCACCGCTATAGGCTAATTGACCATTATCCATGTTGTTTTCATTGTCCTACCATTGGAATGGGATCACTTCATAATCAACTGCAATTTCAGGTAGTGATAACAATTTCACACCAATTGTGTTCTCCCATCATGACATCAGTGTTGTTTAAGAGTGTTAACTTTGTCTATACAATATTTACAGAGATAAAGACAGGGAGCGCAGTCGTAGTCGAGACCGTCACAAGGAGAAGAGGAGTAGAAGCCAGTCACACTCCAGGAGTCGCAGCCGCGGGAGAAAGTCTAAAGACAGGTTACAGTTTTAATTCTTTCTTTTTTTGTATTCTCTGTATAACTGAATAAATTTGTTGGAGGGTGATATAACAAAAAGGGGATTTGGTTGACAGAGAAAAAGATGGTCCAGTAATATCAAAGAATAGCTAGAGAAATTTGGATGACTTAGCTACAAATAGAAAATCATGGAGCATGTTGGTGAAGTTTTTTATATTCTATATATTACTGAATATCTGTTGGAGAGTGAATTAACAAAATGTCTAGGATTGTCAGGTAAAAGGTGAGCAGATTGACAGAGAAAAAGATGTTCCAGTGATATCAAAGAATAGCAGGAGAAATTTGGATTACTTAGCTACAAATAGAAAATCATGGAGCATGTTGGAGAAGTTTTTTATATTCTAAGTATAAATGAATAAATTTGTTGGAGAGTGAATTAACAAAATGACTAGGACTGTCAGGGAAAACTAGGTTGACAGAGAAAAAGATGATCCAGTGACATCAAAGAAATAAATCGAGAAATTTGGATGAGTGTAGCCTAGAACTAGAAAATCATGGAGCAAGTTGGAGAAGGTCGGAGGAATTAAACTAAATATATATACTTGAAAGTCGGAGCTGACTTCTACTCACATGGGACCATATATAAAGAAACCAAATTAATGAAACTTAAAATATATAATAGAAATTTTATTTATATCGAAAAATAAAGCTTAAAAAACAAAAATCTGAATAAATACAATCACTTGAAGTGGATTATTCAGAAATAGCTACTGAAACTATTTATATAAATTCTTCTTAGTACAGCTTTTACTTCATAGTCGACTGCATCAATGTCATAACAAGTTAAAGTATTGAAAAGAAAGTCTTATTACAATAGTATAATGTAACTTTTTCAATTCCATTTATATTTGCAGTACGGCTCAGCTGAGTAAATAATATTAATTTTAAACAAGTATTTTTAACCACCTTAACAAGTGAAATCATGTATTTTGCACTTGTTCATAGATGCAAGCATTAATTCAAATTCAAATAAAAATAACATTTATGCATATAGGACAATTTAGCTGCTTATAAACATCAAATTTATTATGTTATAATTTTTTCCCTACCGTCCAGTACAATATATACATCCAATTGAGAAGAACTGGCAAGAAACTCAATTGAATTACTTTTATTTTAAAAGCCACTTTATTTAAATGTATATTTATATAGGTGTCTGTCTAACGTTAAATGAAAATCCCGTACATGAACAACTACTGTCATTGGGCTTTCTAAAATATGGACGAGCGCAGTGATGGCTGGCTCATACGTCATACTCGTGAATGAGTGCTGCTTGTAGGGACTGATCTGCTCTTATCACTACGACTGATTTAATCTTATATTTGACCCTAATAAATTAGTGCTAGTTGGTAGTTTGTATTCACACGTTTCGACTTGAAAAATATGAACTTACAAGGATTATTTAAAAGAGCAACACACAAGTATTTTTGCACGTTTTTCTTGTGATGAGACAGCTTTCCTAATGAGCGGTAGATTAAAAAAAATGTTATGACTATTGAAAAGTGCTTAAATTAAGTTTATTTGAATAAAGAATTTTCTATTCTATTCATTCAAGTAATCGTTTAGTAAGTAATAGGCTTTGCTCAATAAATATGATTAATAATAGTAGTAGTGATTAACTGGTGACTAACACTTGTGTACAGGGATGGCACAATCGCATTGTTGGACCAGATGGTGGGCACAACGACCAAGGCCACCGCTCGCCAGGTGACCAGCACCGCGACCATCAACCCCGCCACACAGGCCGCCATCCTAGCCGCTGCTGCCGTAGCTCAGGTACATATACATATATAACAATATCTACATTCATATATACAATCTACATTATTACCAGGTAATAAAAAAAATCATAAAGTAATAATTTTACAGGCCAATTCACACAACACCCACTAATCCCAAGCTAAACAGTGATAAACTGATACAAATGCATACATTTATTTTTAAAATACGTACATAAATTTTGACGGCTTCGGTGGTCTAACGGTTTAGCTCACCGCCTTACTTCCGATGGTCGCGGGTTCGATTTCTCGCACGGCACAAACATTTGTATTAATGAGTATGATTGTTTGCATCGGTCTGGGTGTTTTCTATATATAATATGTATATATGTATTTACAAAAAATAAAATAAAAAAATATATTTATGTATTTATCAGTTATCTAGTACCCATAACACAATTTTTACGTAGCTTAACTATAACTAGATGGCGCTGTGTGAATTGTCAAAAAAAACAGAAAACATGTAAAATGATAGTCATGAATACAAATGTTTGTACTAATCAAGGAATCGAACCCGCAACCATCTAAGTAGGGAGGTGTGCTAAACCACCGAGGTCGTCAATAGCTAATAAATATAAGTTAATAAGTTTAAATCCTCCTTTGATTGTTGTTTGTTTATGTTATTTATTAGGTACGTTTGTATCAAAATATTCGTTGCGAAATAATTGTCAAGACATTTCGCATACTTTAGAATATATTTGTTCATTATTTATAAATTTGATATTGTGTACTTCCAGCACAATGATAACGAAAGAAAGGTAATATATTTATTTTAGGCATAGACTAGTAATATTTAATTTTATCAAGTTTGATATTGTCAAATCCATTTCTAATTTTACTCAAAATAATGTCTCATTTAATCTCATTTAATTTTTAATTGTGGACGCATTCTAAATAATTTGTTTTGTTTTATAGAAATATATAAATTTTATGGTAAGCAAATGTTTTTGTTAACTGTATTGCTAGTTTTCGAAGTAATGATTTACGTGGGTTTATTTAGTTTTTTTTAAACTTTCGTCTTTAATATACATTATTTATATTATTAACCGGGTCTTAACACGAACTAATTTTATGGCAAATAAAGGTATGTACCTATCTCGACGTTACGACTAAGTTGCACTAGCCGTGGTCAGCTCGTGACCTCGGCTAGTGCACGTGAAACATTAAATAGTGTTAATAATATAAATAGTGGATTTATTTAGTTATGTACGCTGACGTGTTGCCCCTGTCTGGTATATACCGGGTGTGAGGGACAGGTTGGCAAAAACTGAAACTGAATTCCGACCATTATTCTGAACTGAAAACCAGTGGAAATTCTTTCCTGAATTTTTTTAATATTTTTTTTTCTTTTAAAATCATGTGAACTATGATATTATGTAATAATATAAAGAAATAATGATATTTCATAGCGAAATAATATAAAATACCATAAAACATCAATGTAATTCGATTTAAAATCCTTCCCCGCGCTGATCAGTTCTGAACTGACGTGTCACCGCGATACTTCTCGTTGTAAAATCACATTGCGCGGCGTTAAAACCAAGAATCGTTAATTATATGGCTGTGGTGCATTTCCGGTGGGAAAATACTTTGCCATCTGATTCAGACCATTCATCTGAATCAGCTGTTTTCGTTTTGCCCAACCTGTCCCTTACACCCTGTATATATATACATATTAGTGCATATATTTGTATTTATAACATTACAACATTGTAAGCCTTGTGTTTAACATCGGAAGTTTGTATCAGAAGTTTACACTGTAGCACATCTTAATCATAAGAAAATGTTATATTAAAGGTTTTTTAATGGTCGATGACCACGATGGCGGTGGCGGCTACGTACCATTAGAGGTTAATAAAAAAAACATATGAATAAAAATCCTGTTCCCACCAATTACCTACCTTTAGACGTACGTCCCTTCACTTTTGAATCGGAAGTGAAATATTTGTTACTAGCTACTCATCCCAGCTTCGCGCGGGTGTACATGTATTATATATACAAACCTTCCTCTTGAATCACTCCATCTATTAAAAAAAATGCTTCAGAATCCGTTGCGTAGTTTTAAAGATTTAAGCATACATTGGGACGGACAGACAGCGACAGCGACTTTGTTTTATACTGTGTAACGAAATGTAATCATTGACGATGGCGCTCGCTGGTTTTCCGTGCATTTTCACGTGTCGTGTGAAGGTGGCTACGGAGCTCCCTCCCGCGTACACTTAGATTGTGGAATGAACTTTCTGCCAAGGTTTTCTCGCGAGACTACAAAGAAGGGTATATTAAGGTTTCTTAAGTGTCGGCAACGCGCACGTGATACCCCTAGTGTTTCAGGCGTTCTTAGGCTACGGTAACCGTTTACCATCAGATGGGCCGTATGCCTGTCTGCGACCATAGTAGTATAAAAAAAAATGTGTATCATGTCCGTGGTTACGAGCCGGAGCGTGCGGTGTGTGCAGACGTTCGTGGCGCAGCGCCGCATGGCAGCCCCGGTGCAGCCGGCCGCGGCCGCCGCCGCCGCGCTGTCGGCCGCCACCGCCATCCCGCCGCCCACCTCCGTGCAGCAGAAGCTGGAGCTCCTCCAGGCGCGCTCCGAGTCGAGGTACCGCGACAAGCCCGCGCACCACGACTACCACCCCGACGACGACCACGACGACGGACAAGGTACGTCCACGCCCTCCACCATTACCCGTACTTGTAATGACGACCCTGCATGCCGATAGGTGTTCATGCACGGAATTTTCATTCAATGTTAGACATATACACCTATATAAATAAACTGGCCTTGAAAAGAATATTCAATTTAGTTTCTTACCAGTTCTTCTCAATTGGATCTATATACTGAACTGGACGGTAGGGAAAAAATTATAATATAAAAAATTTGACGTTCATAAGCGGATAAAATGTCCTACATGAATAAATGATTTTTGAATTTGAATCAAACCGTCACGTCCTTTGTCATTTTCCTTTTTTTGTGATTAACATTTCGCACGACATTTCACTCATTATGTCTTCGTTTAAAGTTTTAAAGACATTTAATTTATAAGTTATCCATAACTCTACAATTATATCTATGCTCCATAGTCAGAAGTCCGCCATTTTGCAATGTTGTGAACACCCATGCGAAGCCGGAGCGAGTAACTAGTTAACAATAAAAAAACGGCAGTCCCTATGTGAGAAATAAGATCGTGTGGTACGTGTGGGTGCAGGCCCGCCCGGGGAGACGGCGGCGGAGCGGCGCGCGCGGCGGAGACGCACGCGCTGGACGGGCTCCGAGCACGACAAGACCTTCATCCCGGGCCTGCCCACCGTGCTGCCGTCCTCGCTCACCCGCGACCAGGAGGAGCAGTACCTCCGTGAGTATCTCCTCCGCCCCTCCGCCCCTCATCTCTTCGATGCCCCTTCTCTGACTGTGATCTGTTCTTTCTCGGCGAACGATCTGGTACGAGTCGCAAGATTTAGTCGACTGTGTCTTAAATAGTTCCGCAGAACACACTAAACTTTTATAGTGCACCGAAACAACGGCATTTTACAGACGAACGTTTAAAAAAAATAAATTTAATTATATTCAGTAAAAATATATGCCAAGATTATGTACTACTTGATTGATCAGCAGTGGAAAAAACGGATTACTAAGTCAACCATTTATATTTCTGTTTCTTGTAATATATTATTAATATATATATAAAGTATATTTATAAGTATTTAAATTTAAGTTTAGGTCATTACTAATAATTTTCCCATTTTTTCTGTATTATTTCAATTTAAAATTGAAACTATTACCTATTGATACATATTTATATATTATTATACATATAAGCAGAGTAACTGTGAACACATTTGAATCGAGACCAAATAGAAATCAAGTTTAATATAAGAAAGTGTGATTTTGGTATTTGTTTCTACAACACTACTGACTGATGTAACATTTGAGTTTGAATTTACCGTACTCAAGAATATCTTTTGGCATATTATATCAATTTGATTTCAATTTGAGCATTTTCATTGTCAATATACTCTTCTTCTTATATGTTACACTGCTTTTTAATTTAATATAGTTTAATAAAGTAATATGAAATGAAAAACACTTGAAGTATTAAAGAAATTATCATTTTATTCTTACAAAAATTGGTATTGTTTTAAGACATCGGAACATTTTTGGTTTTGTTAATATCTACATGTAATAGGGCTTTGGATTCAGGGTTCAGTTTGTAATTATCATAAAAAAGGTGTTTATGAAGTTAAATCAATAATAATGCAAAGCGCAGTATAAGATTGAACTGACGTGCAGTTGGCCCATCGTGACGGGTTCATTAGGTAGTAAATACTAGGGCTTCCAAGGCTCAAAGGCAAGGCTCGTGGAAATTTAACTACATTGCTGGTAGTGGGACCCCGAGGTCCCGATTACTAACAGTCGCTTTCTTCCTAAATATTAGACGAAGCATAAACTAAGGCACGTCTAAATAGTTGGCCTAGTTGGTGATGACTATTTGTGGATTTGTCATGATGGGCCAATTGACTCGACTTCATCACCCATCCCATCATCAACTTATGGTCCGCGGTAGGTATTAATAATATCAACTTTTATTATTAACAGATAAATTATTTTTTAATTATTATGTTTAATTTTTATTTTTTTTAATTAATTAATGAATGTTGTGCGTTACAATAATCTTTGATCCCCATTTGATTATACGAAATTTATTTTTATTTCAGCTTCGATATATATTATGTTTTACAGGGTTATTGATCAGCATATAACTGTATAAACATGTAGCTGACTTTTCAGGATATGTTGACATGATATCGATATATGTTTATGATGTATGAGGAGAGTGATGTAGTGTAGTGTAAGTGCAGTAAGCGGTCAGTATTCTAATGTGCGCGTATGGCCGCGCGGTGGCTAACCCGTTCCCTTGCAGTGCAGCTGCAGATCGAGGAGGTGAGCCGCAAGCTGCGCTCCGGGGACCTCGGCATCCCCGCCAACATCGAGGAGAGGTTTGCACCATTCATACTACGCTACCGCCCGCGCCTCCACTACCACACACGAGGTTTTATTTGTACCAATAGTTTTATCCGCGACCTCGCGTCGCCAGGATTGGATGTAGCTTATGCTGCTCTATGAAACTCTGCCAAATTTTATTAAAATACATTTCACCTCGAGTAGACAAGGTAACAAATGAGTAAACACATTTTCACATTGATAATATTAATAATGAATACTTTATACGCCATGAGGAGGTCGTGTCGCTCAATTTAAATATATACTATAATAAAAAAATCGCGTTTAATGGCGTTTAATAGCAATTTTTTTAAGTCAGTTTAACCATATTTTAGTATATGGATATATTGATATATTAGGACCTCTGACTTGTGTAAAAATATCGCTAAATTTATATACATATTCTATGGCCAGTTAAATAATAGCCGCTAACGAATTTTGTTTGCAGGACACCAAGCACTGTTAACATATAAAATTATGAACAGAGCAGTTTATTCATTATAATACACATTAATATAATGTGATCACATGACAGTTGTTAAACAAGGGTATCGTAAGTGTAGACGTGGTGAGCAGGTGGGCCGCAGTGATGCCAGATTAGAGGTATTCCCCCAGATTTAGGAGGTTTATATGACGATTAAGGGAAATTTGGGAGATAGAAATGTAGTGGATTGAAGTGAGGGATTTTGGGAAGTTTTTGTCTTAAAAAATCTAGAACAGAAGTCTTCGGGTTAAAACCGCTTCGAACAAGAAGTGAATCAATGCGCTAGAAATAAAAACAGTAGGTCATTTCACAGACGTACCAGTGTAACCAAGTATAAAAATTAAGAACTGTTGTATATCGAGCGAATTAAAAAACACTATTGATTTTGAAAACTGAAATTATCAGGATACAAAAGAAAAGTTACCGAATAAAGGGCCTAAAAAGAGGTCAATAAGTACAATTCATTGTTAGGATTAAATACCTGTGTTTTGAACATAACTTTGGGGAATACCAAACAACCATGGCAACACTGCCGGTCGGATATCGGCAGACGTGTCACCGGCAGTGGCTGGCCACACAGCGCCAGTAGGTAGCAGGGCTGCACTCGTTTCCGACGGTGTCGGTACCGGAACTACTAATGCGCCGTTTTCTTCATGTTTGCAGGTTACAATCTCACTGCAACACAATAATCTAATACAAATAAATCTAATAATAAATTCTTTCAGCCACGGCCATTTATATAACGCAATTATTTTCAGGGCTAACGATAATAAATTAAAATTTCAGGTTGAGCTAACTGAATTAAATATTTTTTTTCTCAAGGTGTTGTAGATAGGTTCGTTGTAGATAGGACAGGCTCGCGTCACGTTGTGGCCAGCGGCGCCGACAAACACGTTCACTTCACAATATAATATACTATATTCACTTTACATACCGGTCTACGTGCACACATTGACGTATCACTACAGTTTTTTTTAATTCTATATGCACAGATATTAATTCGATTACAAAACTATTCATGTATGTGAACGAGTCGGCAACTTACAGAATTATTAAGTTGAGAAAATGTGTGCACGTAGTACGTATGTACACAGGAGCATAATCGACAACTGCCTTGTACTGAAAATATTCACATAGTAACTGTCTTAAAGCGATTATTTTTGTATTAGTTAAAAATGAATAATTATGATTTTAAAATACGAGCAAAACAATCAAAATTAACTCTTATTTAAGAATATAGTAAATGCTGTTTTGCACTAAATCGTCTGTACCACGATATTGGTGGAGCGTGGGAGGCAGGTGTCGATTGTGGTCCGCGTGGGTGGGTGCGGGGCGCGGTGTTGAGAGATGGCGGTGGTTGCGCAGGTCGCCGTCGCCGGAGCCGATCTACTCGACCGACGGCAAGCGACTCAACACGCGCGAGTACCGCACGCGCCGCAAGCTGGAGGAGGAGCGGCACCGCCTCGTGCAGCGCATGCAGCAGATCAACCCTGAGTTCAAGCCGCCGCCGGACTACAAGTAGGTGTAGTAGCTTACACCCGCATATCACTTCAAGTTCACAAAGCATTCGCAAATATCCGCACAGTTGCTTCTTAATATATTTACGAAAGTAGTTAGTTGATGACCTCGGCGGTCTAGAGGTCTAGCACACCGCTTTACGACCGACGGCCGCGGGTTCGATTCCTCGCACGGCACGAACGTTTGTATTCATGAGTATGATTGTTTGTATCGGTCTGGGTGTTTTCTATGTATAATATGTATTTATTTACAAAAAAATATCTATGTATATGTATCAGTTATCTAGCGCCCATAACACAAGCTTTAGCTAGCTTAACTTGGGTCTAGATGGCGCTGTGTGAATTGTCCTGAAATTATTATTATTATCATATATGGCAGGAAAAATAGTGACAGTTTCAAAAAAGTTACTGATTTTAATAGAAGCTTACGTAACGTTACGTTTGACGAAAGTTAGTAAATCATTTTATGGGAATTGCATAAGGTTTAACAACAAACTGCCAGACCTGACAATCTCTGGCAGTGGCTAGCATAGACATCGCTATGGAGTTCACAAAGTGTATATGTTACCCATACTTTGTCATTCCTGAGAATCGAGGTAATATGCCTGTAATTTTACTTGCTTTAAATTTAAAATAAAAAAAATAATTTATTCATGTTTTTTATGTTATATTTTTTTCCCTACCGTCCAGTTCAGTATATAGATCCAATTGAGAGGAACTGGCAAGAAACTCAATTGAATTACTTTTTTAAAGCCAGTTTATTTACAATGTATATTTATATAGGTGTCTATGTCTAACATTAAATGAAAATCCCGTGCATGAATAATTATTGACATGCACCCAACTGATACGAGTGTTGTGTTGTGTTGTGTTGCAGGCCGCCGATCATCCGCGTGCATGATAAAGTAATGATCCCGCAGGAGGAGCACCCCGACATCAACTTCGTGGGACTGCTCATAGGACCGCGGGGAAATACACTCAAAGGTACAACGCTCTGACAATTCTCATCTACACGGACCATTCTCAACTAGAAGAACTGCACAACCTCATTCCTCCAGCACCGTTCCATCAACGTACAACAAGACGTAGAGAGCGGCTCCACGCCTACACTATTGACATCCCAGCTGCTCGAACTAACGGTTTTGCATCATCTTTCCTTATGCGAGCAGCTAAGGAGTGGACCTCTCTACTAGCATCTATTTTTCCTGCCTCTTACAACATTGGGTCTTTCAAATCAAGAGTGAAGGCATTATTTGAGCTTGCGTGTAACAGTTTAGACCACATCATCACTTAACATCAGGTGAGATTGCGGTCAAGCGTGCTCATATTTTAATAAAAAAAAAAACAGTTTTATAATTTGACGATAGTTAGTAATTCAACAAACTGTCAGAGTCTGTACTCAGTTTGCCAGAAAAATAAATCCAAATGTCTTATAAAATGTTTTCTTTGTAAAAAAGCTTACTATAAAATTGAGGAATTTACAAATGATAATAATGTTTTAGTAGAATCTAACTTAAAATTCATAGTGCTGACAATGTTATCTGATTGAACAGAGATTAAGTGCGTAGCGGTTTTCATGTTGATTGTCGCATGTCTAATTTTTGTTAATGTAAATATAATTAAAACAATATATATTTAAAAGAGCAACACAAGTTTCTTGCTCATTATTCTTGTGATGAGTCTGTGTCCCGAATGAGCGGTAGAATCAAGAACTTGACTATTCAAAAGTGGTTATATTAAGTTTATTGAATAAAGATTATTTCTATTTCAATAGGATATTCAGAGTGTTGTGTGTACAACGCTCTTACAATTGTATCATACCTACACGGAATGTTCTCAACTAGTTCTATAAAATTTATTTGTCACAAATGACTTTGTGACTTTTTTATGGTGTCATCATTACATAGTATGCAACAAAGTCGCTGTCGCTGTCTGTCCGTCCCTATGTATGCTTAAATCTGTAAAACTACGCAACTGATTTTGAAGCAGTTTTTTAAATAAATAAAGTGATTCAAGAGGAAGGTTTATATGTATAATACATGTACACTCTGGCGAAACCGGGGCGAGTAGCTAGTATATCATAAAACAAACACTGTTGGGTAAAAAAGGGACGCTAAGGACAAACCTGGTTCGTGTCGTCCCCGCGTGTAGGTCTTATATACGTGTAGCCGTTTCACTTTAAACACGCACAATACTACGATGATTTTCACTGGATGATATACTGATAAGATGATTGCGTGGAGATTGCGGCTGATGGTTCCGTTTACGTTGATTCGCGGATATACTGATTTGCGTGTGCTCGACGCGACGTACAACGAACGACTCTGGTTTTGTTGATGCTACCCCCAGATTTAATTAATTAAGTGGATTAAATACCTATTGTATTTAAAAATATTTGACTGTTTGAAAGAAAAAAAAATTACAGTACTAGGCTACAAAAGCCTAACACTATAAAAAATATACTATAGACTATAGGATGTCAATTTCCGTCCTTAAATTTTTCTACCCTAATCAACCCAACAACCGAAACAGCTCTCAAAGCAAGCTTGCACAGTGAAATAGGTGAGACTGAGTTCACCACCAAAATGATTGTTCTTCATGTAGCGATGGAGAAGGAAACCGGCGCGAAGATAATAATCCGCGGCAAGGGATCCGTGAAGGAAGGCAAAGTGGGACGCAAGGACGGACAACCGCTGCCCGGCGAGGACGAGCCACTGCACGCCTACATCACCGCCACCAACGCAGACTGCGTCAAGAAAGCCGTCGAAAAGGTAGGCTCCCACCCTCCTCACCGTCTCCACAACCTCACCCCCGACTGCTGGCCGTTGCAACTACATCATAGCCTCTCTCTCCCCCTATCTCCCTTCTTCTCTCTCTCCCCTCCCTCTCCCATCTCCTTCACTCTCTCTCTCTATTTCTATTTCTCTGTCACAACCGTCGCCGCCAACTGGCACCGTGGACTTTGGAACTTCTGTCCATATTTTAAAATTATTTACAATACTATCCCCTAACCGAAAACTAAATAATTTGAAATCTAGAAAGTGACTTTCATATTATTTGAAAACTTACAACCTTTTAACTATTATAATGTAATTGGTAAGTACAGCGTACTCTTGAACGTTAGTGATGGTGGGTATTGTTCGTTTGTTTGTAGATCAAGGAGGTGATCCGTCAGGGTGTGGAGGTGCCGGAGGGGCAGAACGACCTGCGGCGGATGCAGCTCCGGGAGCTGGCGCAGCTCAACGGCACGCTGCGGGAGAACGACGCAGTACGCTGCGCCAACTGCACCGCCACAGACCACAAGACCTGGCTCGTTAGTATAACTACTGCCATCTCTCACCACCTATCTCCGGGTCATTGGGCTCCCTAAAATATGGTCGAGCGCAGTGATAGCTGGCTCATCCGTAATACTCGTGAAGGAGTGCCGCTTGTAGGGACTGGTCTGCTCTTATGACTATGACTGATTTAATCTTATTGTGTTTTTATATTTGAGCCTAAATAAATTAGTGCCTTTTATTTTTAATATCTGCCGCTTTTCTCCATAATAATATTCCATAAGAGAGTAAAGTATGAAAATAACTAAAATAGACCAATCTAGCAGTATCAGTATCAGCGTACTGTCTAACCTTACGCACGGCAAAGACTCGGTGATGTAAGATTGATAACGCACGTGGTTCGTGTGCGCAGTGCCCGGACAAGCCGAACGTGACCAACAGCATCGTGTGCTCGTCGTGCGGCGGCGCCGGACACATCGCCCGGGACTGCCGCGCCAAGCGCCCGGGGCAGGCCGGGCCTCCCGCGCACGCCAGCCGCGCCAAGATCGACGAGGAGTACCTCTCACTCATGGCCGAGCTGGGGGAGGCCGCGCCCGGGCCCGCGCCCGCCGCGCCGCCCCGCCGCCCCCACGGGGGGTCCTTCGGGCCCGCGCCCCCGCCGCGACCCATCATGCCCGCGCCCGGTACGTGACCCCCCCCACACTCACACACCCGGGCCCACACACACACACACACCCACACACACACACACACACACACACCACGCCCCCGCCGCGACCCGACCACATCATGCCCGCGCCCGGTACGTGACCCCCCCCCACACACACACACCCGGGCCCCGCCCGCCGCGCCGCCCCGCCGCCCCCACGGGGGGTCCTTCGGGCCCGCGCCCCCGCCGCGACCCATCATGCCCGCGCACACACACACACCGCACACCGGTACGTGACACCCCCCCCCCACACACACACACACACACACACACACACACACACACACACACACACACACACACACACCCCCACTCCTTCGGGCCCACACGCCGCGACCCACATGCCCGCGCCACCCCCCCCCCCCACACACACACACACACACACCGGGCCCCGCCCGCCGCGCCGCACCGCCGCCCCCACGGGGGTCCGCGGGCCCGCGCCCCCGCCGCGACCCATCATGCCCGCGCCCGGTACGTGACCCCCCCCCACACACACACACCCGGGCCCCGCCCGCCCCGCCGCCCCCACGGGGGCTCCTTCGGGCCCGCGCCCCCGCCGCGACCCATCATGCCCGCGCCCGGTACGTGACCCCCCCCACACACACACACACCCGGGCCCCGCCCGCCCCGCCGCCCCCACGGGGGTCCTTCGGGCCCGCGCCCCCGCCGCGACCCATCATGCCCGCGCCCGGTACGTGACCCCCCCCACACACACACACACCCGTGACCGGGGGGACTCGAGTTCAGAAGTGGGGTTCCTTCTTGCCCGCGCCCCCGCCGCGACCCATCACGCGCCCGGGTGACCCCCCCCCCACACACACACCTTCGGGCCCCGCCCGCCGCGCCCCCGCCGCGACCCATCATGCCCGCGCCCGGTACGTGACCCCCCCCCACACACACACACCCGGGCCCCGCCCGCCCCGCCGCCCCCACGGGGGGTCCTTCGGGCCCGCGCCCCCGCCGCGACCCATCATGCCCGCGCCCGGTACGTGACCCCCCCCACACTCACACACCCGGGCCCCGCCCGCCGCGCCGCCCCGCCGCCCCCACGGGGGGTCCTTCGGGCCCGCGCCCCCGCCGCGACCCATCATGCCCGCGCCCGGTACGTGACCCCCCCCCACACACACACACCCGGGCCCCGCCCGCCGCGCCGCCCCGCCGCCCCCACGGGGGGTCCTTCGGGCCCGCGCCCCCGCCGCGACCCATCATGCCCGCGCCCGGTACGTGACCCCCCCCCCCCCCCCCCCCCCCCCCCCCCCCACATACACACACACATCACGCCCTCCGCACCCCATCTTGCGCCGGGTACTTGCCCCTGCCTCCCTTAGACTCAACACAACTGACAGACTGAAAATTAGAACTTATTTTTTAATAGACTTTTATTTTAACTAATATTCCTTTTTTTTATGACCTAACGTAATAATAATAATGGTCGTAGTACTGTGTGTGTTATGAGACGGTATACTAACGTTGTCCCTGTCCGCAGGAGGCGGGCCACCAGCGCTGCCCCCGTCCGGGTTCCCCATGCACGGCCAGCCGGCGCCCTGGCTCGGTGAGTTCATTTTTTTTATAGCACAGGCGACAAACGAGCCAGCGGCTCATCAACAGCCCCTTGCTGGTAAGTGATTCCACACTGTGGTTGTGCGAGGCAAAAAGTTTCTACAAAACCGCACTGTGGAGGACCGCCATTCATCCAGATGATCAGGATGGTATTTTAGTTTCTGGCGGGTGGTACGGTGTTGAAACTCAGCAGCTGGTATTAATTCGAACAATTCCTCAGAACACTCACCGTAATATATGCGGTAGAGAATGGACAGAGATGCAATATCTCGCCGCAAAGCCAACGGGTCGAGTCACATAGACGTTGATTATCAATGATTCTGGCAGCTCGGTCCTGAATGCGATCAAACGGAAGTAGCTGGTATTGTGGTGCTCCCGCCCAGAGGTGAGAACAGTATTCCATATGCGACCGGATCTGTGCCCGACCCTCCAGTTCTATCTATCTATCTACAGTCGCATCGCAGGCGTTGGGCCAAAGGTTGTGGGTTTGATCCCCGCAACGCAATCTTTATTAATATGTCTTATTTGAATTGACATGTAACTATATAAAACTACTCCTAGCTTTTTCTGACAAGCAACAGACATATCTTATCATTACATAGTATAAAACAAAGTCGCTGTCGCTGTCTGTCCGTAATAAATCTTTAAAACTACGCAACGGATTTTGAAGCGTTATTTTTAATAGATAGAGCGTGTTCGGGTTGTACCGAAACTATAAAGATTCTGATAGGTAAAACTGATAAATGATACTGATAGAAACTTGATTAAAACTGTATATTGAAACTTAACTATAACTGATTAATGATTGTAATGAGTACGCGCGGCGTCCTTGATGACCGAATGCGAACTGATTTTAATGAAATGTGAAATGTAAAATAAAATGTTAATGTTGCGAAATAATGTACGATGCTAGCTTGTACATATTCCCGGGCGCGAAAGAAGATGTGAATGGGGATGCTGTGGTTGTGACCTTAATTACTACTTACAAGATGATGTACAATTGTTTCTTACAGATAGCATGCTAATGATTTTGTTAGTAAGTCGAATGATTTAACAAGATGATATAATACAATACACGAAGGCTTATTCTACACACATACGCGTTAGGGATGGCGTACACTGATCTTAGCACAGACGATGTGCTTCTGTTTTGCTCTAAGACACGCGCACTTTCTCTCGTATTCACTGATATCACGGGCACTACACTTATTTTCTACACACACACACACACACACACACTAACACTAACACTAACACTAACACTGATCGATGGCGGGGGAGCGCCCGCTTGCAGCGCCACCATCCAAGAACTGGAAATCCGGTCACTATCATAGCAACTGAAGCCATCCTAATTTAATTACTAAATTGAGGACGAAAATGTGGTGAAGTTGCTTTATTTTCCACGCACAATTTAGGACGTCCAAATGTCTTTTTGACAGTTTGATAGACTACACTGTCACATTCACTAACACTATCACTGTTTGCTGTTTCCATCGCACGGGGTTGGGGCGCGGGAGAGCTGGCCATGCCAACCGCCACAGTCGGCGATGCTGTGCTCGTCGAAGGGACCTTCCAATTGCGTAATCGACGCAATGTATAGATTACGCCGACTAACACCATCACGGCGATAATTATATAAATTAAAGTATAGTGATGTACGTCATGATAAGTTATGTGATCTGATAGTACGGGTTCGTTCTCTTTCATGAACTTAATTCTTTCTCCAATTTCTGTGAGTTGCTGACTTTCCGAATTCGATATGTCATTCCACTCGTGATGAGGAATAGATATGTTAATGATGTGGTTTATCGGTGCGACTGTGGGTGAGTATATATCTGGTGATGTCTTTAATTTATTTGAATGCTGATAATGTGATGTAACAGTGAAATTATCGGTTTTGATGATGCATCCACTGTCTATAGTGCTCAATCCCGCATAAGTGAGCATATGTACGGTAACCTGATCTCCTCTGATGTACGATGCTAGCTCGTACAGAGTGATTCAAGAGGAAGGTTTATATATATAATATATGTACACCCGTGCGAAGCCGGGGCGAGTATTGTGTATTTATTAAGTTACTAGCTAACTTAATAAATACACAAATACTATGACTGTTTGTGTTATAAATTATATCAGTTTCACTATTAATAATAACTTAACTGACAACTGACTGATCAAGTGTAGTGTGTATGAGTCGCCTAGTGACTATAGTATGAGTTTGTATGAGTATGTAGCACATGCTGCCGTGGTGTGTGCAGGTGTGAGCGGTGCAGGTGGACAGCCACCACCGCCGGGCAGTGCAGTACCTCCGCCGCCACCTCTCCACCACCGCCCGCACCACCAGGGTGACAACAAAATGGGCCCACCCAACGGACCGCCGCACATGCCGCCGCCGCCGCCGCCAGGGAATTGGAACGGCAACCAAGACGGACGACCTGCCGGTAAGTGGCACATGTACATGAACTACGACATGACCAGTCGGCAGCAGCTGTCAGTCAGTCAGTCAGTCAGCTCGTGACCACGGCTAGTGCAACCTAGTCGAAACTTCGATAGAGAAATACCTTTATCTATACATCTATACATATAAATAAAATTGAAGTGTCTGTTTGTAATATTGAAATAACCGTTTTTTACCACATGCATATGAATATACATACGGTACATACACCAAAACAACATTTTTTACAATTTTTGTCTGTCTGTCTGTTTGTTTGTTCCGGCTAATCTCTGAAATGGTTGGACCTAGAACCTCCACCTAGCCTAGATGCTGTATGCAGGGTGCCAACAGCAACTGGTCCATCCCATCCTCGTCAACAATTATGTACAAAATAAGCAATTATACAGACATTTCTATTGTTTACTAGCTTTTTCCGCGACTTCGTCCGCGTGGAATTTTATTTTATTTTTCTAAAATAAAAGCCTAAATTACTCCTTATTACATCAGCTACCTGCTAAAAAAAGTCCCATCAAAATCAGTCCAGCCATTTCAGAGATTAGCCGGAACAAACAGACCGACAGACAGACAAAAATGATAAAAAATGTTATTTTGGTGTATGTACCGTATTTATATTCATATGTATGTAGTAAAAAACGGTTATTTCAATATTACAAACAGACACTTCAATTTTATATGTATAGATTTACTGGTTACCTAGACAACAATAGTCTATGACATGGACAAACTTGAAAACAAAAATTGTTCGTTACCATAGATACTTCAATATTATTGCGACTTATACCCTTTCCGACTAACCGTGTATAGTGGAGTTAAATGACTAATATGATGGTGGTGTTGTGACAGGCATGGTGGGCGTGGGAGTCCCGGGCGGGTGGCGCGCGCCGTACGGGGCTCCGCCGTGGGCTCCCCCGCCGCCCGCATACCTGGCGCCTCCGCCGCCGCCCCCGCCCGCATCCTCCGCCTAGCGACACCACCCCACACGGACACTCCACGACTATTACAGTAAAAAAAGCATACCAATCGCTGGTCGTAGCGATTTGAAGATTCCTTCCCAACGTAAACTATTCGATGTAAAATTTGTAACGTGTCACATCGTAAGTGATAGTGGTGGCCGCACACGTGCGATTATGACGTCATGAGTGACGTCACACGTACACGTAATTAAACACGTTTTATATATTTGATAGTAAAACATACCACACTCCGTATAGATTCACCAAATACTTATATGTATCAAAAAAATTTAATTGTAATTCCGAAATATATGCACAAATAAATATTTAGTTACTGTCTGTGCCCGCGCGTTAATTTTCAATAAAAATTAGTTAGTTTTTGCGTGTAAGAGTAACAAACATCCAATCTCAGCGTTTACAATATTAAGATTGTTTGTACACATTTAAAGACATATTATTTGTAGGTACACATCATGTACCTACCTACTGCTGCACAAGTGTACGAAATACGACTCTCGACCTGTGACTTTGGGATTTTAACTGGAGCCAAGTGTCTGGTTGGTAGCCGATCACTTTATCTTGACGATAACATAATTCTTATTTTATAATGTAATTATAATATTAAACAATTTCAATGTGTACCATTGTTTTTATTTCACTCCCTTGACATACCTCTCGGGGATTTGATCCCGGGATCCCGGTCGAAATTTCGGTCTCGAATACCTCGGGATTTTATGTAAATGTATGATTATCAAAATGTTTACGAATTAATTTCATGAAACGAAACAAACTTAATGTCAATTTAACATTTATCGGCCATCTTGGATAATCAGCTGATTGAATTAGTTTGCGATGGCGTTGTGTGTGAACTGTGAATGTGTACAAAGTTCGTCTTCACGGCGATCTGAGAAATGAATTTCGTAGCAAATATTTCGTTGATTATAAGCGCAACGTGTATTGTAAGAACTACAATGATAAGAATTACAATATTTGTCGAAGTCGATGGTTTCGCATACCTACTTGTCTTACATTCCTATAGTAGTAGGGTATTTTTCTAGGTTTCTCTAAGTGAGTCTAACAAAATTGATTTCTTCAAAGCATAATTTTTAGTAAGTATTACAATTTGTAAACTATAAATATTAGTTTTCAATGAAATTAGAAGCAAATTTTGTTTAATATAGCTTTAAAATGACAATGAAACTATTACCTATTACCAAAATAACAATAGAATGATTGACAATAATTTACTGACTTTTCATTGACACTGAATTCCTAAATTGGTTCCGGGATCCCGGTATCATCTTTCCTTAATCCCGAAATCCCGGGATTAAAAAAAATTGTCGGGATCGTATTCTCTACATACCTCGCCGTTAAATTTTACTAATTCTAACTTATCTATATTGAAATAATGTACTACTAGCTGACCCGCGTGACTTCGTCTGCATCACACATATCATTGTATATCGCCCAATTTACATAATGTATATTTAAATTATAGCCTATGTTGTGTTGTGTGAACTATGTTACTGTAGTTTCATCAATATCAGTTCAGTAGGTTTTGCGTGAAAGAGCAACAAACATACAAACTTTCGCGTTCACAATAATAAGTAGCAGCTCGGCCCGACTTCGCAAGGGTGTATATGTATTATATCAGATAATGTTGTCAGCGCTAAGTATTTTCTAAAAAAACATTATCAATGTTACAATAAGCATTTTTACAGAGAAAGTGTTTTGTACGACATTTAAATCTTTTCAGACAGATTTAGAACAGACTGGTCGTTTGTTGTAAAACCATACTCAATTATCAAAAAAATATAAATATTAAGAAACCTTATAACATAGATAACTAGCTACTCGCCCCGACTTCGCATGGGTGTACATGTATTATATATATAAACCTAGAATCATCACCACCATCATCATCATCATCACCTTCAATCATCACTCTATCTATTTAAAAATCACTTCAAAATCCGTTGCGTAGTTTTAAAGATTTAAGCCTACATAGGGACGGACAGACAGACGGCGACGTTTTGGAGGCAAGAGCAACTGGCTTGACTAGGAGGAAAAAAATAGAGTGGAAATATAAACAGCGTTTTGTACATAATATTTATTTTTATTTCATATTCTTATATGACATTAGATCTAAAGAAAAACATAGTCAGTCATATTTATTATACACATGCCTTAATTAGGATTTGAACTTTCAAATCTGATGCACAGTTAAATGCAAAGTATGTATAATATTAGGCAAATACATCATAGTTACAAATAAAACAAGTTACATATAAAAAAGAAAATTGATCTAAATTATAACACTATGTTCGTGGGATATTTGACTGAAATTCAGTGCACACAATATTCATTTTGTTAGAGTTTAAATAAGTTGTAATCAATAAAAAAAATTGTGTTTGCGTGCAACGCCAACAGATGGCGCTGTAACAAAATTAAAACGCGCTAATTGTTTCGTTTTATAGAATGTCCCTATGTATTTTACTTTATAACATTTTTTGTAGGCCAACAACATTAGAGTAGTCCGAAAAAAAACAACATTTTTTTGTACCTGTACCTGTATTTGAAACCGACCAATAAACCATATATATACGAGTGTTGTGTTTTGGTTTAGGACCTTGTGGTGGTAACACATTTATTGCATCAAAAGTAAATTATAAAGAATACAAATGGAAGTAAAACGGTACAAAAGGCGTTAACGCGTAAGCAATCTCTTATGTCTGGTTTTCTATACTCTGTTTTTTAATCCCGGAGATAAATTTGACGTTTCCGATGTTGCGAAGTTTTTGCATTTTTTAAATAGGGTTGTGGCACTATCGGAAATTGATATTAATGACTAATTTTTATAGGTTATTCAGAAATAATGTGCGAGTGTTTATATAAAACGCATTAACACAAAATTAATAAAGAGATGGTTTATATCAAAATAGTTTTTTTTTCATTAAATAAAGACTAATTTCCCTTTTTATAAAACAAATACACCACTACCCCGCTGTAGGTGGTAACATTATTTGTAAATTTGACATTTACACCTGTCAATTCAGTCTCCGGGATTAAAAAACAGACTATAAACTTTGGGTAGAGGAGAGACGACAGAAAGTGGTAGGTGGAGCAAGAATGGACCAGAGATATGTAGAAATTGTTGTCTAGTATTGTATACCCCACCGATCGATCGATCGATCCCGTCCAATTTAAATGGGGATCGATATTACGACGACCTAAGCCGAGGTTCGAACCCCTAGCGGTGCCCTCAGACTAAAGTCGTATCCGTCAGGCGGAAGTTGGCCTTCAGCCGCTCCATAAGTCCTTCCTTGGTTTGGAGTGCCATCTGCACTCGCCCCTATCGTCCGGTGAAGCTGTAAAGGCCAGCTGCGGCCAACAGCATTAGAGTAGTCCGAAAAAAAATGTTATGTATGTATACATTTAAGAGTCGGCACCGACTTAGTAGGCACACTTCTGTTAGAATGCACAATGCTCTAGAATGTATTTCAGCCAAATATCTCTAATGTAAATAAATTATTATTACGCTATACAAATAAAATAGCACTGCATCAGTAACTAAATATAACACATTTGGTTATGCTCGAGTACCAAAATTATTATAAATTTTAGAAAATAAATAATATACTTCAAGAATTACATAAATGTAAATAAATAACCATCACATATTATATATATATATTATATGAAACGCAACAGAACATTTCATTTTAATTTTGATGGCCAGTCATATGTTCAGTATATTGTTCAATAATTCCAGGCCGACTAGATTCTGTCCGCCGAATACAATCTACTTCAAAAATATCTCTTAAACCTACAAGACTTTCGCATCGCCTGGTTTTTATTAAAACGTATTGGAATTCACGCCACATAAAACGTAATACTGCAGCTGTTTGACGGTAATCATTACATAGTATAAAACAAAGTCGCTGTCGCTGTCTGTCCCTATGTATGCTTAAATTTTTAAAACTACGCAACGGATTTTGAAGCGTTTTTTTTTAATAGATAGAGTGATTCAAGAGGACGGTTTATATGTATAATACATGTACACCCGGGCGAAGCCGGGGCGAGTAGGTAGTAATATTGTATACTAGCTTCCCGCCCCGCGTTCGCTTGGGTGTACATGTATTATACATATAAACCTTCATGAATCACTGTATCTATAGCTAAAAACTGCATTAAAATCCGTAGCGTAGTTTAAAAGATCTTAGCGGACAAACAGAGTAAGGGACTTCATTCTATACGATATCTAATATATAAAATTCTCGTGTCACAGGTTTCGTGTTTATACCAACGAAACGGCTTGACCGATTTTGATAAAATCTTAAGGTCTGAGAATAGGTTTATAGCAAATTTTTATACCCCTAAGTGTTAAGGGTGGCTCACCACATTTTTTTTTCTTTTTCCACAATTTTTTTTTATTATGTGCTATTAAAAAATACACACAACCCTAAATTTTCACCTTTCTGTCACCAACCGCTATTTTTTTTATAGCGTTATTAATTTATATGGTAAAACAACGTTTGCCGGTACAGCAATAGTCCGGGATAGCAACATTAGTAAATAAATATTGTAAGTAAGTATTGTAATAAATATTTTACGCGCATGATCGCGTTAATTCCAATACCTTATATAAATGTAACCACAATTCCTCTACACTCTTCTACATTTCATACAATATCAAACTCTGTATCAAATCTAAAAAATTTTGATTATAATATATTATTATCGTAGAGAAAGGCAAACTTATCTACAGCCTACAATTCGATTTCATTATAGGCCGCGCGCCCGCCACATGTTTTTAATAATAAAATGACAATTTTGTTGATTATTTTACATCGAGCTATGTTATTATATTTTATAAATGCTGCTTTGCTACCAGGGGCGGACTAAGGTAAGGTAGGTATTGATTTTAAATAATAATAATAATCTCAGGACAATTCACACAGCGCCATCTAGACCCAAGTTAAACTAGCTAAAGTTTATCATGGGTAACTAGGTAACTGATACAAATACATGTTTTTTTTTCGGAAATACATACGTATACATAGAAAACAGAGCGATACAAACAATCATACTCATGAATACAATGTTTGATTGTACGAAGAATCGAACCCGCGACCATCGGACGTAAAGCGGTGCGTTAAACTGCTAAAACACCGAGGTCGTCAAATTTAATTTTTACTTTTATTTATAGACAAACATTGTATAGGGCCCACTCTGGGGGGATTTGGGCTGTTGTCAGATGTAAAAACCTGTAGCACTGCGACCTGTATAGATCTATTGTATTTTTTACATTGCACTGAATAAAATATTTTTCTTTCTTTCTTTCTATTGTGCTCGCCCTTGTTCTAAGTTCGCTGCCTAGACCCGTGAGGGACAACAACTGAAGGATATTCTTAGGAGCGCTAGTATCTTTAGCCTTAGTCCACCCCTGTTTCGCATATGGACGGTAAACTAGTTCTTAGTCTGGCAGAGAGCCAGGTGTGAAGCGACACGTGGCGGACTGGTCTAACTCTGCAAGTGGACCACCGCAGGCGCGAAGTTTCCTACACGACCCTAACTATATTTATACCCAGATCATTTTTGCTAAAGCGCAGATCGAAGTTACTTTCAATATAAACACCGTCGCTAGATCTGTGCCTTCAGTGGCGGTCTTAGGGTGTGAACAGGACAATCGCCTGGAGCTTCTTGCAGGGGCCTCGTGTAACAATCGAAGCAAATTTTAAGTAACCAGTGAGTGGCATTTTGCCTACTGACAAATTGCAAAAACATACTGATGTGGGCATTTAAATTTACATTTAAAATAAGACATAGTTTTTTTTTAATCAGCGGAAATTTTCCGCATAATAATTCGCATCTTATATTTTCACGTAGGACAGAAGGTCCTCGCAATGGGTAAGACCGCCGCTATGTCCCTATTAGGCGAACTGCGTTTTTATGGAACTGGAAGGCAAACGATATGGCCCGCCAGCGAGGTTTGAATATTACATCGTCACATGGCGCCCGTGGCACATATTCCACAGGGCATGAGTTGAAGAAGTCCTCAGGACTATACAAACATATTACATGTCGTTGTAGTTACGTGTGTGGAGACACTTAATTTGTAAAAGATTTTTAATGAATTAAAAAATAAGTAATTCAATTGAGTTTCTTGCCAGTTCTTCTCAATTGGATCTATATACTGAACTGGACGGTACGGAAAAAATATAAATTTGATGTTCATAAGCGACTAAAATGTCTAATGCTACATGAATAAACGATTTTTGAATGTATTTGTATTGTTATTAATTTGTTTGTCTGTGCGCAATAGAGTTATTATTATTTGTAGATACGTACACTATCCACTGCTGTCGATTTCTGACTTATTAAGAGGAGGGGGACTAGTAGCTTCATGTGTCACGTCAGGTTAACCTCCAAGCGTTGCCCATGGAAAATCATCGTGGTACATTCCTGTTGGAACTGCCAGGATGTGCTAACTGTCCTGACCTCATGGTCATCCTATCATCCTCCACTGGTGCCCTGCCAGCGTAAACCGTTAGCAGAGGCAGGAGCGATATTCCTTAATCATACATAAAGGTAGGGAAAGTGATTGTTAGTAATATGGACTCATGACCTTATTACTAGCAATGTACCATGTCAGGTTGACCTCCTAGTAATTCCCATGGAAAATCATCATGGTATATTCCTGTTAAATATGCCATGATGTGCTAACTAACTAACCAGCGCCTGTGGAAGGTAATAGGATGAACATGATCATCCTATTATCTTCCATTGGTGCCCTGCCACTGTAAACCGTTAGGCGTGAGCACCATTCTATAATCATACATAAAAAATCGTTGCTAACAAACTCCTCAAGAACCTACTACTGCATAAGTGTATGATTGCAGTTATATACAGTTGATGACGACATGCAGTCCGTCTGAAATCAGCGGTATGGGGCCGTTCAAGTATTACGTAAGCAGATTTATTACAATTATTTACCCCCTGTCAGCAAAAATAAGCAAAGCTCTTACCCCCTCCCCCTATGATTACGAAAACATTTTTCAATTAACGTATTGTTTTTATAGCGCAGACAATGTGAGGGTTGCCATTCGTGTAAAAAGTAAATGACTACCGATGACGTAATCATCACCTAGACTCCCCCACCACCCCTTGTCATCCAAAACAAGCAAAGTAATGACCCCCGCCCTCCCATAGTACTTACGTAATAGTTGTACGGCCCCCATTCACTTCCAAATACTATCACAAAAATAAGTCTATACGAGTCGTTCACCAATAGAAGCTGCAACACATTGGTAACAGTATTACAAAAAAGTTATATTAGGCGCGAGTAATTCATAAATTATACGAGCTAATGGATTACGTAGAAGGAACTAGAAGGTTCTCGTCTCGTCTACATACAACGTACAATATGCAGCAAGGAATTAAACGACGACGTCCTTTACAGATCATCTACGTTGCTTCTCGTTGGTACGAAGAAAATTCGATTGATATGCAGGTCAACTCCGGGGGTATGCAAGGCTATGTAAGTGTGTGGGGTGGCGGCCGCGTGGTGGAGGGGCCGGCGGCGATCATCGCGCCTCCTTCGCCGTCAGCTTCTCGATCAGTTCGTGTAGAGGCGCCAGCTCTCGCCGCTCGATCAAACTGAATTCCTGGAATACGCAATTAATAGATTTTTTTTATATGAAAAATGTAAATAATAAATAACCCTGGACAATTAACACAGCGCCATCTAGTCACACGGTAAGCAGAGCTTGTGTTATGGGCACAAGACAACTGATATAAATACTTAAACACAATTTCTTTGCAAATACAAAAATAATATACATAAATACAACCAATGCAAACAATGATACTCTTGAATACAAATGTGTGTATCGAGCGAGGTCTCGAACCCGCGACCATAAGGTATGCTAATGCTTTCACACCAAAACTACTGTAGCTATTTAAATAAAATTTGGTACATAATGTAGACCCTGAGAAAGAACATAGGCTACTTTCATCATCACCATCATCATCTGCTTCTTCCTTATCCCATTTATTTGGGGTCGGCTACTGTGCGAAAAAAGGGTTGACAGGGGAAATGAAACGTTATATGGAAGTATCGCCGTTTTTTAAACTATCAGATTGAAACTTATATTTTAGCCTGTTGATCATTACATGGTATAAAATAAAGTCGCTGTCGCTGTCTCTCCGTCCCTATGTATGCTTAAATCTTTAAAACTACACAACGGATTTTGAAGTGGTTTGTTTTAATAGATAGAGTGATTCTAGAGGAAGGTTTATATGTATACATATAAACCTTCCTCTTGAACATGTATTATAATACATGTAAACCGGGGTGAAGCCGGGGTGAGTAGCTAGTTAAATATAAATAATTATGAAAGTTTGCATATTCATCATTTTTGAAGGTGATGAAACTTTTATCTTTTGTTTTTTGGTTTACATAATAATCTAAATATAATTAATGATTTTGATTAATGTCTCTATTCCACACGGACAAAGTCACGGGCACAACTAGTAAACAATAGTAGTAAAAATTAGTTGGTGACACATCGTATGTTCCACAAGCCGACCGTGAACAATGTTGTGATGATGCTGCGTTGTGTATGGGACACAGTTACCTAGAAATAATAATTGCACTAAGCACTACCGAGTCTAAACTGTTTCACCCCACCTTACATTTTCCTATTGTTATTTAGTATATAGATCAATATTCATTCATATAGATCAACATCGTGTCATTAACCCGCAACACTGTGAGAACCGCTAACGCACCTGTACAAAGAAGATGAAGTGTTTGAAGGAGGTGTTGAGGTGGGCCTCCTCGCCCAGCTGCACCACCTGCGGGAAGTGTTGATGGTAGATGTGCGCGTACACGCGGAACAGACGCTTCAGGATCGTCTTCGCCATCGACAGGAAGTTCTTTGGGAACGGCACGCCTGCAATGCAACCACAATTTAAATTTTACATCGACCAACGTTATGAAAACATTGGTTGTAGTCCACTGATGCATAAACGTAATATATAACTAAAAGTATACACTCTATCCTAAGGAAATAAAAACCATCGCTTCTAAGAATATCATTCAATTCTTGTCCCTGACGGGTCTAGGTAGCGAACTCTGAAAACGAGCGAGCACAATAGATCTATGTAGGTCGCAGTGCTACAGGTCCAAGCACCTGACAATAGCGCAAACAAACCAATAAAAAAAATAGTTCATAACTATAAACTGATTTGAAAAACTTTTCCTATGCAAGGGTATAATTTAGGAGGTGGATTATTTTAGTTAAAGTTTTTTACTTATTAAAATATTTAGATTATAACAAATAATAATGGTACCAGGCCTACTATCAAAATTCCTATTTGAGGCAAGTATATATTTTAAGTAGCAGACCCGGCCAGGCGTTGCTGTGGCTATGGTTCTTGAATAAAATAATATTGCGACTATAAATTGAGATGTAAGCTATCCTATCTTTCAAGTTGGATCAAATTGCACACAATGTGCAATCGGCTCAGTAGTTTAGGAATCCATCGCGGACAAACATCGTGACAAGTAATTTTTATATATACAGTGTTCGCTAAATAATAATATGTATGCTGGAAAGATGACATCAACCTTACTCTGGGACCGTTCTGGAACAGGGTTGCAGAAGACAGAGTTCTGTGGAGAGAGCTGGAGCAGACCTATGTCAAAAGGCACACTGATTTTCGGGACATTTTGTAAATATCAAAATGTACCCCAACTTTCGGACAAAAGGGCTATAATATAAAATAATAATATGTATAATAATAACTAACTACCCTGTTTATCAATAATAAAAATTTGCTCACCAATTTTAGAAGGAAACAGTGTTTCATCATCGAGCTGATCCTGTGCCCAGGTCATCAAGTAGTCAATGTATTTGGGCGCTGAACACTTTATAGGTTTCTTAACAGTGTGGCCGTCGGCCCAGTGATATTCATACTTGGGTCCGGCTGACATCACAGCGCACGACTCCTCGGTGCAGAACTCCGTGATGGTGCCATACAGCATGTTGATTTGGTTGAAGAAGTCCACGGCTGAAGCAGCAACATTACTTGTTAGCATGTTACACCATCAGAAAAAAGATTTAAATGACATATAAAACACTTCTTTTGTAAAAAAGCTAACTATGAATAGTTTGTTAACGATAATAATGTTTTTATAGAAAAACTTAAAATCCATAGCACTGACGATATGATCTGATTACACTAAGAATGAGTGCATAGCGATTTCTATGTTGATTATCGTATGCCTCTTACTTGTTATACTGTAATTATTTATATAAAAAAAAACATCTATTCAAAAGAGCAACACACAAGTTTCGTGCTCATTCTTCTTGTGATGAATCTGCATGCGAGTGAATTATTTTATGGCAAATAAAGGTATTTACCATAATTTTGCCATAACATTATTCACATTAAGACCTGGTTAATAATTTAAATAAGGTATATGAAACACAAAAGTTTAAAAACAACAAAATATGACTATTCCAAAGTGCTTGTAATGAGTTTATTTGAATAAAGATTATTTCTGTTTCAAGTTTCTCTCAAACTTGACCAGCCATAATATAACAATTTATTAATCAATAAATTGTTATAATAAAGAAGACATGCTAACATCTTTTCGATTATAAATGATGTATTTCACCGTAACCAATAGATTATGGTGATATTGTGACAAAGTACGCTCAAACAATATCAGATGCCTGAGTAATTAAATACTGAACAAATATATAATTATAGTATTAAACATTCAAAAATACTACATGTAAAACCATACAAGTAAGAGACTGATTGTGGAAAACAGAGTCAAATTTATATTATATTAAGAAATGTATAATCACATTTAGTTCAATGTCTAAACATGTCAGTTATCTTACTAAACAATTTGTTTACATAATGCACTGTATGTGTGTACTATAGAATGTTTACACAGTGCAAGTCATACTACACAGACATATACATATGCATATAACGGAAGTCCATATTATGATAACACTGCAGAGAGGAAGTGTTGATAAGGGGCGGCTTATTATCACAAGTGAATCAAATTAAATACTGCCTGACACATGTATTGTTGTATTAAATTAATAATTAGCATTCAATGTGTCCATGAGCATCACAGTGATGCCAATGACAAACACATTCATTGTCATTTGCCAGACTGTACATACATTACATTCTTATAAACGTAAAGAACACTATTGTGCCAATTTTGATGCAAACATTTGCCAACAAGTTTCAGATTATAATATATATCATACCACATTACATTTACATGGAATCCTTGTTAGAGAATCAAGAATAGAATGTATATATGCTTATATACTTGTATATATATGCTAACAGAACCAGTTACATATTGCTGTGGCTAAGGCTCTTGAATAAAATAATATTGCAACTATAAATTGAGATGTAAGCTATCCTATCTTTCAAGTTGGATCAAATTGCACACAATGTGCAGATCAGATTTACAATCGGGTCAGTAGTTTAGGAGCCCATCGCAGACAAACAATGTGATTTTTATATACAAAGATTATACAGTCGAGCCTATATTAGTTTTTAGACCATATATGTATTTAAGTGTAATTTGTTATTATAATTAAACTATAGTTCTTTATTATTAGTTTAACTTGCAATCAAGTACCTGTGCACATCCCAAAGGTTGACTGGGAAAATTTGATATTGCATGAAGTCCACCTTTTGTACCATATTTTAGTGTTCATTAGAGCAAATATATAAATAGTTTGGTGGAGAATATGTCTGTGCAGGTGAAGAATAAAAGTACATAATGTTGTAGTTGTTTTTTTTGTTCTGTGTTATTTAGTAGTCTCTATACTTTAGTGATATGGTTAATTAATAAATTGAGATGAAAACTAATGTCATTACTAACTATTAACTGCCACCCATTCATTTAGGTCCTCGCCTTCGGGCAGCATGACGGCGAGTCGCAGATTGCCCGAGCCGAGGGTGGCGGCCGCGTGCCGCATCAGGTCATACTGGTGTGTACCCTCCGGTATGTTCTTCTTTGGTTTGAAGGTCTTGTTAGACCGACTCCCACTAAAATAAATTTATATTATTATATTAATTAATAGTAATAAGTCGTAGGAATTTTCTTGCATTCTTATGTATTCATGTTAAAATCTAGTCATCGAGACAAAATGCAGTATTTAAATTAATATTATTAATTAATATTTATTGTAGACATACAATACAATTCCATTTTTAATGAACAGACGTAAACAAGACGTCAATGGTGCATTGGGTACACTACACGGTGAAAATTGAGATATAAATAGGTAGTACAACAAATATGTACTTACAAAAGAAAACTCATTGTGAATGTTACAATACACGGTCCGAAGAGAACCTCAAATATTTATATTACTATATCAAGCTCTATAACTTAATAGTTAACATATAAAACAGGTTAGATTTATTTATATAAAATTATAACTAGTAAGCGAAGTCGAGTTGCTCTTGACTGTTTTTTCTTTTTCGATTGTCGTCGTTTGTCAGTATTGTGAAATGTCATTTGACTGTCAAAGTCATCCATTCGTCTATGGCCTCTTAGATTTCATGTTTTGTATTTATTTTATTTTATATGTAAATATTTAGTTTTTGAACATTATTTTGATAGTAATAATACAATAATTATTTTGTTTAAAATGTAGTAGTTATAGTTGTATACTTATAGTCAAAAGATACCAATATGATAAAATTGGATCTAAAACTAAACCTTTGCGACATTGGGTAGGCACCTATTAGCGTAAAATTATATAAAATCTAAATTACAATGAGAGCTTAATATGGACTATTAGAAAAATAAGAATGTTTAAATAAATAGGCAGTATTCTTTCAGATTCACATTACGAATCTGGAACATAATGTAATAATCCCATATTTTGAACTCAATGTTCATAATATGGTAACTCTGTACGAAATTAGCAATTATAGGAAATAAAATCTGGTCATACAGTAGTCTGCAGTATACTCAGTTCAATATATTTATCCTACGTCGTTCACTGCAATATTTGTTTGAACTCTAATTTACTACGGATCAAGCGTAAACAGACAAAATGCAAGGATTATCACTTCAGAGCTTGAAAAAACACAAAGCCGTAAGTTATTAGATAGTCAACAGATACAGAATGGGACATTCATGTTTTGCTTCTTACATAATTAACCTATGATATTTTTCATATTGATTAATTGTTGAAGTAATTTTAAATATTATGCGTAGTTGATCCCGTTGTACGTGTGTACTGCGCTGGGGTGCGGCGGTGCGCTCGTGTATTTAGCACGGCTTGCGTTTCGCTCCCCTGACGTTTCATGGAACAAGAAGTCCAACCCTGAACCCTGGGAAGAGTACAGGGCAAAACAATACAAGGTACCTGTCTAAATATATTAGAAAGTTCTTCATTCTTCTAATAGTAGCTAACTGTTTTTTTTTTTGAGAAATAGTCACCATGATGTATCTACAAATCTCATCTAAGCACACTCAACCTACATAAACACTTCTCGAACGAAATTTGGCTAACTCTTTCCAGAGAAGTTAATAAGACTGAGTGATTAGGATACCTTAACAAATAGAAATCCTATGAATCTTGTAATTTGTGGTCATTCCTCAGAAGTGTACATATATTCTGTCACTCACCTTTATCTTTTAAAGTTGTTTAAGTAATACTAAAATTACATTGCTTACTTATAAAATTAGATATATCGCTTGGTATATTTAAAGTTTATTTATGTCATATAATAAATAGATAATATTGAGAATGATCTTATATTAGATGTTTATTCTTGTTTATATCATATTTTAAAACCTGATATTTGATTAGAAATAAGAAGCATGAGTATTATAAATGTTAATTTTTGTTAAGTCTGTTTTAAATATCACAAACTCTGTGTCTCAAAGTCAATATTTATTAGTAGTGGTTGATAAAATTTTTGGCAGCAACATGTTAGTTCCTATTGTATCAACATAGTAACATAATGGGTAGGAAATTATATAACAAATAACAATAGGGACAGAATGACAATGAATTCCCGTTCATGGAAAGCTATATCTGATTTCGTCCATCCACATTGTTTCACCCACATTTCTTACTGTAGTACTGCCTTCATTGTTGTATTCTACTATCTAATGATACCTATTAAATGAGTTCTTCTCCTTTGACAGTTCTACTCACCCATCAGGGACTACTCCAAGGAAGAATCACCAGCACCCAAGTTTTAAATTGTATAAATTATGTACTGCAATAGATATTTATGATTTAATAAAATAGTTATGTGATACTTCAAATGATGTTTAATTTGATATACCTTATTGAGTATGGGACATGTGACACTGATCATCTGATTGAGTTTATAATTGAATTGAATTAACAAATTTCATACTAGCGGATCCCTAAACTCAGTTAAGTGGCCCCTAAACTAAGGTAGACTTTGGTAAAAACGGGCATCAAACAGGTATTTGAAAATCTGTGATGGAAAGACAAAATATTTGATGTTATTACATGACAATGGTAGAGTGCTATAGCCATTAAGACAAGTAGCACAGGCAACTGCACTTCTATACCGACAGAGCTATACACACTGCAATTCTGTTTAGTAGCATAATGACCACCAGCGGTAGCTTTTATAGAAATACAGTATCAGATCTGTAGTCATGTACGATATAACTAAAAAAAATGTATATTTCATATAGACTCTGTAGAACAATGTCTCCATGGGTGCCACAGTCTCTTTCTAGTATTAAATTTAATAAAGCAGTCAAATTACTAGACATGAAGGTAATATTTTTGTCCAATGACCTTAATTACGTGTGACGTGGTCGTGTGGAATGAGTAGTCATGCTCACTAAAATGTCCAGACATGTGGCGGCGTGGTGGGCCGGGTCAATGGGCTCCCTAAAATATGGTCGAGCGCAGTGATGGCTGGCTCATCCGTCATACTCGTGAACGAGTGCTGCTTGTAGGGACTGGTCTGCTTTTATCACTACTGATTTAATCTTATTGCATGATTATATTTGTGCTTTAAAAATTAGTGCTTGTTGGTAGTTTGTATTCACACGTTTCGACTTGTAAATGTAAACTTACAAGGATTATTTAAAAGAGCAACACACAAGTTTCTTGCTCGTTCTTCTTGTGATGAGACAGCTTTCCGAACGAGTGGTAGATAAAAAACAAATTGTTATGACTATTCAAAAGTGCTTAAATTAAGTTTATTTGAATAAATGATTTTCTATTCTATTATTCTATTATGAAGGATTTAATTTCATGGTTTTTAAGATGCTGCCTACTACCAGCCCATTACTGTTTCTCGGGTTAATTTAATTTTTTTTGCGGCGTTTCCATCGTATATTAAAAACACATTATGAGATCAAATAATATAATAATAAAATAAACTAGTCCCACTAATAGGAGGCCGCGGGATATTTTTGAAATGATACAAACAGTAATAAAAAACATATTTATTTCCTACATATTACAATTTCATTAAAAACTATTATAAATTGCTATTATGTTCATAGTGCCAATTTCGTATTTGTTAAGCACCTACGTGTGTTAATGATTTCATGATAAATTAGAATAACAATGTGTCAATGTTTTTATATTCATAATAAAAATGATAAAAAATTATATCAAATATCAAGGCAGGAAATCACAGTTCTAACATACTTCTCACCTCAAACGATACGGGTACACGACAATAAAATCAATTTAATAAATTTATTTGTATATATAATACATACTATATACCCTATAGTGGATTATTAACTATGCAAATTTATAGTCGTTTGCTTTGTTATATTTGATTATCAAAAAGATCACAGGTAGTCTAGATTCTTGTTTTACGATATATTTATATTATATAGATTCTGTAACTTTAACACTACTCTATATGCACCTGCTGTGTGTACATTGACAAAATCAGCAACGATGATCCAGTGGTGTGTTACTGAAATTATTATTCTAATGTTATTATTGAGCCTTACGTTACAAATGCATCAGCAACCATTGTAATCCTATCATCATAGTTCGCCATCCATACACCGTCCCCTTAAACTAATTGATAAATTTAGCATTTATATAAAAAAATATTTTATTATGAAATGTAACCTGCAGTCAGAGCAGGGGCGGATCGTGAATTTGTTGGGCCCTGGGCTAAATATACTTAGGGGCCAATTATATTACTCAACTAAAGGGTTGACAACCTTATGATAGGTTTTTTAATATTGTAGATGTTTTTTTAGATTCTATATGTTATATTTTAAATATCGTTTCAGTTTTCTAAATATCGGGGCCCTGGGCTACAGCCCAAAAAGCCTTTAGGTAGATCCGCCCCTGAGTCAGAGTCACTCAACACATCACTCGTAGACACGAAACGGCGTGCACGTATTAGAAATATTATTTATTTATCAAAATACACCCAATACTTAGATATTTATTTTTATTCGCAATTGTTGTTTGTTTGTAAAACAACTTATACATTATTATTATAGGTACATTTATATTTGGCATATTTATGTTATACAATTGGAAAACTGGGTGTTTTGTTGCGCTTGTATACCGCTCTATTTACTTTTACGTCGTCGTATTAAATAGAAACAAAACTATTTGCAGTTCTCTACAAAGCTTATGTGACCGATCAATCGGCCGTGTTGATCCTGTCGTAGGACAAGTTGTACAAGCGCTCTGCTACAGTCCAATACAAACAAATAATATGGATCTCAACAAACGCATACCATATGTGCGGGTTTATAATGTTAATTCGATGATAATATGACTGATGAAGGTTGATGAAAAGTTAGTAGTAACATAGTGATGATATAGCTATATATAAGAGTCAGCTTTCGGGTTGTAATGTTGCTACAACTAATCGTAGGAGGATACACTGTGAGAGTTAGGATAGGGTGGGCTACTGTTGCGGGTAGGGGTTGTAGCCGGCGGGCGGCGGGTACCCGGGCGGGTTGTGTGCGGGGTACTGGCGGGGCGGCTACTGTTGCGGGTAGGGGTTGTATACCCGGGCGGGTTGTGTGCGGGGTACTGGCGGGGCGGCTACTGTTGCGGGTAGGGGTTGTAGCCGGCGGGCGGCGGGGTGTAGCGGCGGGCGGCTACGGGTTGTGTGTTGCGGGTAGGGGTTGTAGCCGGCGGGCGGCGGGTACCCGGGCGGGTTGTGTGCGGGGTACTGGCGGGGCGGCTACTGTTGCGGGTAGGGGTTGTAGCCGGCGGGCGGCGGGTACCCGGGCGGGTTGTGTGCGGGGTACTGGCGGGGCGGCTACTGTTGCGGGTAGGGGTTGTAGCCGGCGGGCGGCGGGTACCCGGGCGGGTTGTGTGCGGGGTACTGGCGGGGCGGCTACTGTTGCGGGTAGGGGTTGTAGCCGGCGGGCGGCTACCCGGGCGGGTTGTGTGCGGGGTACTGGCGGGGCGGCTACTGTTGCGGGTAGGGGTTGTAGCCGGCGGGCGGCGGGTACCCGGGCGGGTTGTGTGCGGGGTACTGGCGGGGCGGCTACTGTTGCGGGTAGGGGTTGTAGCCGGCGGGCGGCGGGTACCCGGGCGGGTTGTGTGCGGGGTACTGGCGGGGCGGCTACTGTTGCGGGTAGGGGTTGTAGCCGGCGGGCGGCGGGTACCCGGGCGGGTTGTGTGCGGGGTACTGGCGGGGCGGCTACTGTTGCGGGTAGGGGTTGTAGCCGGCGGGCGGCGGGTACCCGGGCGGGTTGTGTGCGGGGTACTGGCGGGGCGGCTACTGTTGGCGGGTAGGGGTTGTAGCCGGCGGGCGGCGGGTACCCGGGCGGGTTGTGTGCGGGGTACTGGCGCGGCGGCTACTGTTGCGGGTGGCGGCGGGTACCCGGGCGGGTTGTGTGCGGGGTACTGGCGGGGCGGCTACTGTTGCGGGGAGGGGTTGTAGCCGGCGGGCGGCGGGTACCCGGGCGGGTTGTGTGCGGGGTACTGGCGGGGCGGCTACTGTTGCGGGTAGGGGTTGTAGCCGGCGGGCGGCGGGTACCCGGGCGGGTTGTGTGCGGGGTACTGGCGGGGCGGCTACTGTTGCGGGTAGGGGTTGTAGCCGGCGGGCGGCGGGTACCCGGGCGGGTTGTGCGCGGGGTACTGGTAGGGTTGGTACTGCTGGGGGGGCGGCATGCGCGCGTGGTGCGGGTAGGGGAGCGTGGCGTACGGGTTGTACATGGCAGGCATCGGCGGCGCGTAGTACGCGAACTGAGTCGCCGCTGGGTTCCCGTACGGCAGCGGCATGCCTGCATTACATACACGAAAATAACCATAAATACATACAAAGCATTTACATTCTTACTTCTAGCAATCGACAATATATGTTGTACGCTAGTGTGTATGTATCTGTATGTAAATATCATACAGTACTAACATACAGCATGTATTTGATATCAGTGATGTGTTGTAGCGTTATCTTTGAGTATACACAAACACAGACTCGGGTCGCTCGTTATCACTGATAAATACTTATCAGTACTGTTAGTCAGCGTATTGTAGACTCAGAATAGTATCCCCAACATACAGACGTCGAAATTTATATTTTGATATCTACTTTCTGAAACCCATTCATAGCTATTATATTGGACAGAGATGAAGTGATTTCTATGTTGATTGTCGCATGCCTAACTCTTGTTAATGTATTTATTCTCATTAAAACAACATTTATTTAAAACAGCAACACACAAGTTTCTTGCTCATTCTTCTTGTGATGAGTCTGCATTCCGAATGAGCGGTAGAATAAAAAAAATGTGACTATTCAAAAGTGCTTAAATTAAGTTTATTTGAATAAATATAATTTCTATTAATATCCGCAAAAACAACACTATTCATATTTACACATTTTACTATTTCGACCAAAAATATTTTAGTGGATAATATTTTTTTAAATATAAACGGACATACGTGCAAATCAATATATGACGAGAATGTTTTACCTTGAGGTTGTGGAGGGTAGGGCAGGGCGGCGGCGGGGGCGCCGGGCCCCGAGGGGGCGGCGGGGGCGGCGGGGGGCGGGGGGCGCGGCGGGGCCTCCCGACGCACCGCAGGGGGCTGCACAACGGACACCACGCATTACTTACTGCTCCCAGTGTTATTACACAGAGAAATGCAGAATCCAAACACCAAAGCACGTTCATCACTATCTCTAATAGTATTGGAATTCAGTGTCGACATCTCTGGCGCAGTTGAGTTCCGTAGTCACCTCGAAGAAAAGGTCAGGCTGGCGTCCAAATACGTCGAAGTGCTCAATAAATCGAAACGGTGTTTCACTGCGGACCAGAGACTGCTCATAAAGGCCACATGTTCTACCGCGTATGAAGCAAGCATCACTAACGAATTCGAAAGCGAAATCCGCGGCGAGATTACACATCCGTCACACTCGTGAACGGGTGCTGCTTGTAGGGACTGGTCTGCTCTAATTACTACGAGTGATTTAATCTTATTTAGTTGTTTAACCAGTTGGTTGTACATTTAATATTTTTTCTATTTGAATATTTAATTGAATTAGTGCTAGTTGGTAGTTTATATTCACATACTTCAATTTGCAAACAAAAATGTAAAGTAACAATAAAATTATTTAAAATAGCAACACGCAAGTTTCTTGCACGTTCTTCTTGTGATGAGACAGCTTACCGAATGAGCGGTAGATTAAAAAAAATGTGATGTCTATTCAAAAGTGCTTCAATGTAAGTTTATTTCAATAAATGAATTTCTATTCTATTCTATTTTATTGGTTTTCTGTAGAACTCGATAGCGACTGCAGCGCCACACGCTCGAGAGTGGCATGGAGGCAGGCAATAGTGCAGTTTTTTTTTTAGAAATATAGGCAAACTTGATAGCTCAATAGGAATTTTATATTTGCAAATTGATATGAGTGCCTTAAGTGAAGCGATGAGTAATATCAGTTGATAGAACGCTTAGAGAATAACAATACTGCTCACATCTTTAGACGGGAGCCCCTGGATACCAGACGGGTCTTTTAGACTTCGTTCAGATTTGATATGAGAATTGTCGATGATCCTGATTTCTTAGAGAGAGAGAGAGAGAGAGAGGGTTGAGACGAGACATTGTACGAGAGAGAGTGGGGAGAGAGAGACTACGGACTGAGAGAGAGAGAGAGAGATGACCTAAGAGAGAGAGACGGAGAGAGAGAGAGGGAGAGAGAGATTCATCTTCACACGCTGGAACCTAAGTGGTTCCAGAGAGAAGATGACTCTCACACTTTCATTCCACACTTACATTGTGGAATGAACTTCCATATAAATAAAATTAGAGAGCCTGTTTGTAATAGAGAGAGAGAGAGAGAGAGAGAGAGAGAGAGAGACATACATCAAAATAACATATTTTACAATTTTTGTCTGTCTGTCTGTTTGTTCCGGCTAATCTCTGAAATGGCTGTACCGATTTTGACGGGATTTTTTTGGCAGGTAGCTAATGTAATAAGAGAGAGAGAGAGAGAGAGAGAGAGAGAGAGAGAGAGAGAGAGAGAAATTCCACGCGGACGAAGTCGCGGGTACAACTAGTTACTAATAAAGTACATAGGACGGTAGGGACTGTGATAGAAAATATGACGTATACAAGAAAGAGAGAGAGAGAGAGAGAGAGAGAGAGAGAGAGAGAGAGAGAGAGAGAGAGAGCCTGACCTCGTCCGCTGCGGGCTGGGGGGGCGCGGGCGCGGGGCGCGGGGGGGCGCGGGACGCCTCCTGCGTCAGGTCCTTCAGCAGCTCGTCCTTCTCCGTCTTGCGAGCGAAGCAGAAGTCAGACACCTTGTTCTGGAACGCCACCAGCAGCTGCCACGAGACAGGGTAGTACGTCAGTATCACTCACGGTAGGTTAAATATACTTAATTAAAAAAAACATACATCATTAAAAACTGATTTGTAGTCTGTCAACAGCAAAAAATAAAAATAAAAATAATTAGAGTTACACAACATTAGTATATTCGTGCGGGGAGCACCTGCGTGAGGTCGTTGTAGAACTTGACGCCCTCCTTGAGGTTCCCGGTGAGGTCCTGGAAGGCGTCGTAGGCGGCGGCCAGCAGGCCCAGGGCGCGGTCCCGGCCGCTGGCGCCTCCGCTGGCGGCCATCAGGGCTGCGTGCGCGGACTGCAGCTCCGACACCAGCGCCTCCTGGCGCTGCAGCGTCTCCGACACCTGGACACCACCACGCTCGTGACAATGATAAGACAAATGGGAGAGAAACAGTGCGGACAGGAACCGCTCGCACATTAGAGAGAGAGAGAGAGAGAGAGAGAGAGAGAGAGAGAGAGAGAGAGAGAGAGAGAGAGAGAGAGAGAGAGAGAGACACCTGGCGCTGCAGGGGCGCGAGCGCAGCCCCGAGGGCGGCGGCGGAGAGCGCGGGCTCGTCGAGGGCGCCGTCGGCCGCCAGCGCGGACAGGAGCCGCTCGCACATTAGAGAGAGAGAGAGAGAGAGAGAGAGAGAGAGAGAGAGAGAGAGAGAGAGAGAGAGAGACACCTGGCGCTGCAGGGGCGCGAGCGCAGCCCCGAGGGCGGCGGCGGAGAGCGCGGGCTCGTCGAGGGCGCCGTCGGCCGCCAGCGCGGACAGGAGCCGCTCGCACATTAGAGAGAGAGAGAGAGAGAGAGAGAGAGAGACACCTGGCGCTGCAGGGGCGCGAGCGCAGCCCCGAGGGCGGCGGCGGAGAGCGCGGGCTCGTCGAGGGCGCCGTCGGCCGCCAGCGCGGACAGGAGCCGCTCGCACATTAGAGAGAGAGAGAGAGAGAGAGAGAGAGACACCTGGCGCTGCAGGGGCGCGAGCGCAGCCCCGAGGGCGGCGGCGGAGAGCGCGGGCTCGTCGAGGGCGCCGTCGGCCGCCAGCGCGGACAGGAGCCGCTCGCACATTAGAGAGAGAGAGAGAGAGAGAGAGAGAGACACCTGGCGCTGCAGGGGCGCGAGCGCAGCCCCGAGGGCGGCGGCGGAGAGCGCGGGCTCGTCGAGGGCGCCGTCGGCCGCCAGCGCGGACAGGAGCCGCTCGCACATTAGAGAGAGAGAGAGAGAGAGAGAGAGAGACACCTGGCGCTGCAGGGGCGCGAGCGCACCCCCGAGGGCGGCGGCGGAGAGCGCGGGCTCGTCGAGGGCGCTTTTATATTTAAGTCGGCCGCCAGCGCGGACATAATAAATGGAGCCGTCTCGTTTTTAAAACAAAACATATGTGAAAAGAGAGAGAGAGAGAGAGAGAGAGAGAGAGAGAGAGAGACACCTGGCGCTGCAGGGGCGCGAGCGCAGCCCCGAGGGCGGCGGCGGAGAGCGCGGGCTCGTCGAGGGCGCCGTCGGCCGCCAGCGCGGACAGGAGCCGCTCGCACATTTGAGAGAGAGAGAGAGAGAGAGAGAGAGAGAGAGAGAGAGAGAGAGAGAGAGAGAGAGAGACAGAGAGAGAGAGAGAGAGAGAGAGACAGCGGCTGGCGCTGCACGGGGCGCGAGCGCAGCCGCCGAGGGCGGCGGCGGAGAGCGCGTTATATACGTACACACACACACACACACACACACACACACACACACACACACACACACACCGCTCCCGGAGGTCCACCGTGGTGTCCTTCAGCTCCGCCTCCAGCGCGTCCCGCTCCGCCTTCATCGTCTCCACCTGCCCGTCACACCCACAGGGATCGTTACGTGCCTCGTACCCGACCCTCCCACGGCGGGGAGGCGATTGTTAGTAATGGAGACTAATGACTCCATTGCTAACGATGTACTGGCAGGTCGACTTCCACGTGATTACCCCTGGAACCCAATGTGGTAAATGGCCATTTACCAAGCTGACCTAACTGACCTGACTTCCCCGCCTGTTGACCCGCCAGTAGACCGTTAGCGCAAGTGAATCAATCCACTAATATCCAACCAAAAATATGATTGAGTTCTAGAGAAAAATTGTAAACGATTACAAAATTAAGTAAACTAAAAAAAACTTTTATATTTAAGTTTAACGCCATTGGTCAACAATGAATTCCTATCATAATAAGTGAATTTACTGTCACAAGTTTTTAAAACAAAACATATGTGTTAAAAATAACAGAATTAAATAGTAAGGCGTTAACTATGATACTCTGACAGACAGATGATAAATTTGATGTTAACATTGAAATTTAGAAAGAGGAATATGACTCACGTTCTCCATGAGTTCCCTGAGCTTGTGTACCGCGGCTGCGTCGGTGGGTGCAGCATCAGCGGCGGCGGCCGGCACGCCCGCGTCGATCTCGTCCTCGCTGCCGCTCAGCAGCGCCATGTTCTGTAACGAGCCCGCCGTTATATACATACACACACACACACACACACACACACACACACACACACACACACACAACACTACATCAGCGGCGGCGGCCGGCACGCCCGCGTCGATCTCGTCCTCGCTGCCGCTCAGCAGCGCCATGTTCTGTAACGAGCCCGCCGTTATATACATACACACACACACACACACACACACACACACACACACACACACACACAACACTACATCTCGCTGCCGCTCAGCAGCGCCATGTTCTGTAACGAGCCCGCCGTTATATACATACACACACACAACACTACATCAGCGGCGGCACGCGCACGTACGTACGCACGCACGCACGCACGCACGCACGCACGCACGCACGCACCGAGTGCCTTGCTTTCATACCTTAAAACCACTTTGCCACATATCACAACATACGTATGCCCTGTATAAAGCATACACCAATAATAATATATAAAATCTGATGTTCATAAGCAGCTAAAATGGCCTACAGGAATAAATGATTTTTGAATTTGAATTTAAATACTGGTGCAGCTCCCTTTACATGACATCTTTTTTCATTCACGCTATTTATCGCGACTGCGCCCGCACGCGCAATCGTGAGTTGCATTTAACTATTTTTTTATCTACTCTTTTGCGCGTGAAATCCAATACCCACGTGAATGAGCGTAAGTGTAAAGGCAGCTAATGAACCCATTAAAATGATCAAATATTACAACAGCCGTACAGAGTTACCACTCTGATAACTTTTTACGACGAAAATGCGACGCCACGACGCATCTGAGAGGCGACAGTGCGGCGCGGACTGACCTCCTTGTGCTGCTGGTACTTCTGCTGCACGATGTTGTCGGCGCGGATGGCGTTGTCGATGATCTGCCGGTACTTGGCGGCGTTGGCGCGGAAGGCCTCCGTGAGGTTGGCGGAGGGCGTGCGCCCCCAGCGCTCCCCGAACTGCTGCCGCAGCGACGCGTCCGACTCCTCCTCCTCGCGCAGCATGCGCTCCGCCTGCACACGCCCGCATCATTACCACACCATTTGGATAACATGGGGGATGGGGGAGTCTAGATGATGATTACATCATCCGCAGTTATATACTTTTATTCACGAATGGTAACATTTATATTGTCATTGAATAAAAAAAATTTTGAAAAATGTTTACGTAAGCATGGACGGAGGGGGTAAAAGCTTTTCTTACTTTTGCTGGCAAGGGAGAAGGGAGGGGGGGGGGGGGGGTAAATAATTGACGGTCCCATATTAGAAATTCTCCAATTCTTCCGCGGGGCACAAATTCGTCACCTACTACGTCAGATAAGTACAAACAAAACGTAAATGTGACAATTGTAAGTTTCATAATTACTTTGACAGTTGACGATGTACCCGAATACCTAACTACTGCTATGACAAACATACGTTATTATGAAAAACTATAATAGATTAAATATAATAAAATAGCGCAATTAGAATAGACAATATTATCTATTCTAGGTTTCCTTTGTGCAGGGGCGGTAGTACCTCGTCCAGTATCTCCCGGTTCCTGGTGAGCAGGTCCGGCAGCTCGGCCATGAGTCGCTGCAGCGCGGGCAGCCCCCCGGCGTCCCTGACGGCCGCCGCCTTGCCGCGGATGGAGGCCGGCAGCTCCCCGGACCTGGACTCGCGCTCGATACACGCCGGCAGGCTCAGCGACGCCAGGATGCTGCGCACGCACGATACATGATAACCATACCAACTTCACGTTCATGACACTGACGATCTTATCTTAGACAAAGTATTAGTGCATAGTGTTTTCGAAGTCGATTGTCGCACGCGTCATCCTCGGTGCTGAGCGACATTCATTTTAAAGAGTATCATGTAAGTTTCTTTCTCGTTCTACTGGCAATGAGATTTTCGCAGACAAAGATCTATTGTACTCGAACTGCTCAGGTGTGCGTGGTGTGCGTGGTGTGCGTGCGGGCGCGGCTCACCTGTTGAGCAGCTGCGTGGCGTCGCGCAGCTTGTTGATCTCCGCGTTGACCATCTCCGAGCGGCGCGCGCGGCTGGCCTGCACGGCCTGGTGCACGGCCAGCGGCACCAGGTCCGCGAACAGGTCCCGCGCCGGGGGCTCCGCCCACGCCTGCGGGGGCTGCGGCGGCGGCAGGGGCCGCGCCACCGCCGCGCGCTGCACGGGCTCCAGCTGGCGCACGTCGGGCACGCGCTCGTGGTAGATGAAGTCGTTGTCCTTGCGCGCCTGCGCCAGGTGCCGGGCCGCGCGCGAGCCCTGCTCCTGCAGCGCAGCCCCCGGGCCGGCGCGGGACGACGCCGCCTTCAGCTGCTCCACTGCGAACTGACGCGCGCGGCCATTACGTCCGGACTCGATCCTGTACCGGACCCTCCGCGCCTACCCTAACGTGCGCTTCACGTCACGGCCGAGTCCCTCCGTTAGAGTCCAATCCCACGAGCAGGAAATTTATATTCAAAATAGAGGATAGAGACGTCTAGGTTTCATAGGCTACGAGTGACGATATGTACAGCCTACCTAAAGTTAAAAACTAGACTAGCATATTTGAAAACATTTTAATTATTTTTTTATTGTAATCTATCATTACTTCTTTATGTCCTTCAAAAATAGCACTTAAATAAATACTTAACCTAATTATACATGTGAAGGACGATGAGCAAAGCCAGGGAACGAAGTATAATCATTACAGATTGAATTGATTGGTTATGATTATAATTGATCGAATACTTAAAGTTTAATACTTCGTTGTTTATATAAAAATAACATCTACTTAAAAGAGCAACACACGAGTTTCTTGCTCATTCTTCTTGTGATGAATCTGCGTTCCGAATGAGTGGTAGAATCAAAAATATGACTATACAAAAGTGCTTGTATTGAGTTTATTTGCATGCAGATTACTTTAATTATATTATTTACCTGTAGACGAGCGATCTCCTCGCCGACGGCTTTGTTGGCGCGACACACCAGGCTCTGGTAGAAGTGTGTGAGTCCGCGGAAAGCCATCTGTTTGGCGGTGATCTAAAGTGGAAATAGTCCTGAGTCAATGTATATGTTAAGCTACATCTATATTATAAAACTGAAGAGTTTGTTTGAACGCGCTTATCTCAGGAACTACTGATTGGAATTGAAAACATATTTTTTTGTTGGATAGTTCATTTGTCGATGAAGGCTTTACGCTATATAACATTACGCTACGACTAGTAGGAGCTGAGCTGCAATAAAAAATATTGCAAAAGATGTGGCAATGAAACGCAGACAAAGTTGCGCGGATCGGCTCTATGATATTATTATTTAAAAACAATTCACACATCGCCATCTAGACCCAAGTTAAGCTAGCTAAAGCTTGTGTTATGGGTACTAGATAACTGATACAAATAGGTAAATAATTTTTCTTCCATAAATACATAAATTTATACATAGAAAACACCCAGACCGACACAAACAATCATACACATGAATACAAATGATTGTGCAGTGCTAGGAATTGAACCCGCGACTACAATAATATACACAGTATGTGGGTGTTATTAATATAATTGGACATCTGAACATTATGATTGTGTGTATATGGTATGCTCACGGTGGGGATCCAGTCGCGGTCCCACAGAGATCGCATGGGCTCCTTCTGCAGCGCTCGCAGCACGTCCGTGTAGAGCTCCTCGCACTGCGCGCACACCTTCGCCACCATGCTCTTCTTCATCTCGTCTGGTGCACAGTTCACAAATGTCAAATTATATCTTTATTTATTTGCATGTAGGTCTATTACAGACTCTTGTGATATGTCAAATCTACCGTCAGTTCGGAATAATTTCGAGTTGAGAAGAACTGACAAGAAACTCAGCTCGTATTCTTTTCAAATAATGTTGTACATGTTTACAATAATACAAATTTATATAAATTCAAATTTGGGAGAACAGAGTGACCACCAGCATATGCTATTGCAAAAGCAAAAAGTCTAATCAATGTTCATAACCTGAACCACAGATAACATAATATTACATACAGATACCCCATCCCATACAAGAAAATGGTTCCTTCCTAACTCGGGCTATTCTTCGGGCTATTTTATTTCGCCGCCGTAGCCGCTAGATGTCTCTAGATCTGAAGCAGTTCGGATTACTAGTGGGTGCTTAGTAACAAAGCACGAAAATAGATGGCAGTCAATTCAGTCTACATGACATCTGTTTTGCAAAGATAGGTATATACAAGATATGTAGGTAACTGTATCGTGTACCTCATTAGGGACGATTCAAGATTCAATGTAAATGTGTAGGTATAATATCGTTAGCCGATACCCTGCAGATATGGCTTATGTGCCAATGTATATATTATGTTATAGTTTATTCTACATTCCATGCCTATTTTTTTCTCTCGACGAAGATATGTTGTAATGCGTCTGAGCTATACGTATAGCCCGATTTTGATACGTTTATACTCGTACGTATCAACATCGGGCTATATGATTTTTTATTTCAATCGTTATGTGTAAGAGACTGGTTTTAGCTACAATGAATTTACTGGTATATACCTCATGTATTCTACGATGTACTCCTCTTTTCCCTAATGAGAATTCCGCTATATCTTATATATAAACTTCGTATCACAGTGTTAGTTGCCATATTTCTCCCACATTTTGATGAAATTTGATATGTATACTTGCTAGGTCTGAGGTAGGGTTGTTATCTATTTTTTATACCCCTAAGTCATAGGGGTGGCCTACCCTGATTTTTTTTTTTTTGTATTATGGACAATTTTTTATTTATTTATAATGTTACATACACGCCTAAATTTTGGCCCGTCTTTCACCAACCCCTATTTTTAATAGCGATGTTCTTACAAATATTATAAATGCTAAAGTAACTCTGTCTGTTTGTCTCGCTTTCACGCCCGTTACACGTTAGAAATGTGTAACGGGGGAACACGTTACTTAGTACGAAATTATGTATATTACAATAAAACTTAACGAGAAAATATTATAATGATGTCACTGGAACACTCATTGCTTTACTACTATACCGTCCATTAGTCGCGAACTTTCTGGAAGCGCGAGAGGCGCGCTCCTATTGGTCCGTCGGTGCGGTTACCGCACGACGCGCATGCGCTGTACGCTTAGATGAGTCTCACGGCACGGGCGTAAGTACTTACTATGTAATATGTATACATATGGGTGTCACAAATGTTTTTATTACAAGTAATATTACTCTATTATCTAAGCCAGTAATGTGTGCTTATTTTGAACTTGATAATATTCAGAATTACTTGTATACATAACTTTCGATATCTACAATAATAATATCTTTGATGTATGAAAGAAATGTATGTACCTACATTAAAAGATAATTTTTGAAATGTATGAGATGTATGAAAGAAATGTATGTACCTACATAAAAAGTTCATTTTTGAAATGTATGAAAGAAATGAATGTACCTACATTAAAAGATAATTTTTGACATGTATGAAATGTATGTACCTACATTAAAATATAATTTTTGAAATGTATGAGATGTATGAAAGAAATGTATGTACCTACATAAAAAGTTCATTTTTTAAATGTATGAAATGTATGAAAGAAATGTATGTACCTACATTAAAAGATAATTTTTGACATGTATGAAATGTATGAAAGAAATGTATGCACCTACATTAAAAGATAATTTTTGACATGTATGAAATGTATGAAAGAAATGTATGTACCTACATTAAAATATAATTTTTGAAATGTATGCACCGTACAATAACAATACACGTTAAACATCATACCACAGAGTCATACGCAAGTTAAAAACAAACTGCTATGATATTAATGAGAAAGGAAAATCAACTTTATGGTATTCGAGTTAGGGTCGATTTCTCTCTTTTTTTAAATACTATTTTAATCTTGCCAGTATTCAAAGACAACTACGATTCGTACTCGATATTTTAAATTATTATGTAATCGATTTTTAGTACAAATGTAAATAACCAACGACACTAATAATGTACTACTATATTCCGTTCTTTGAAACGGAACACTGCTATAATACAAAATAATGAAAATTTACTGTTCACAACGACTCATTAAAAGCATCATCGAATAATGCGCATGTAATAAAATCCTGTTATCGATTATTCAAAAAAATCGATAATACATGTATTTATTTTTAATATGACAACACTGTCTTCATACATAAGTATTATTGGAAATAGTATTACTTGCTTGTTCGGCTATTTTTAATTTACTTAAAATTTTTTTATATGTTTAATTTACAATAATGATATATTAAGTGCTTATTATTGGAAAATATAAAAAAGACATTTAATTAGGCCTATACAAATGACAACAATGCCATCTATGAAAGCATTTTGAAAACATTGAGCCCCATATTAGCACTGATTAAATTAATTAAGTACTGGAAAATAACAAAATGAGTAAATATATGAAAATTACTTTTCTAAACGCATTATTTCATTTTAACATGTATATATAACTTTTTAAAAATTGATTAAACATTTTTGTAAACACAGTTTTGTTTTTTAAAACGTTTGCAAAACTATGAAGAATTCCATCGATACCAATCACGCCATCTATATGCAACTTTTAGCAATAATAATGGCTACTTCCTCACGGATTGCCACTGACCTGAACAGACCAGTCCCCACAAGCAGGACCCGTTTACGAGTATGACGGATCAATCAACATGCATCATAGATCGAACTATGCAGTAGAAGTATGTACTAACCACGGATACACTTGTACACGATGACCTCCTGCGCCTGCGCCAGCATCAGCTGCGACAGCGCATTGAGAGTGTCCGGGTTCAGATCGGGCGTGGTCTCCTGGTGCACGGCCATCATTATATTCGCTTTCAAATAAGCGAATACGCCAGCCGCTTGCTGCAATAATTAAACGAAATCTCTACAATCATTATCATTACATAGTATAAAACAAAGTCGCTGTCGCTGTCTGTCTGTCCCTATGTATGCTTAAATCTTTACAGTTATGCAACAGATTTTAAAGCAGTTTTTTTTTAATAGATATAGTGATTCAATACATGTACACCCGTGCGAAGCCGGGGTGGGTAGCTAGTCTTCTATAAGATCTTGACCTGTCTAAAACTGCAGTAAGTTCTATGCTAGAATGTGTATCTAACTTCTAAAGCAGCACTAGCAGGCTCCTATGAGATTTAGATGAGCAGTGAGAGAACCTCTAAATTTATCTACAATATTATGCAAGTAATATACCTTCTGAAATAGAAATAGAAATAATCTTTATTCAATTAACTTAATATAAGCACTTTTGAATAGTTAAACTTGACCATTCCAAAGTGCTTATATTAAGTTTATTTGAATAAAGATTATTTCTATTTCTATTTCAGATTATTTCTATTTCATTTATTCTACCGCTTATTCGAAATGCAGACTCATCACAAGAAGAATGAGCAAGAAACTTGTGTGTTGCTGTTTTAAATAGATATTGATTATTCTCTCTTTCTTCTTCCTATGCAAAAACTCCATCTATTTACAAAAACCGCTTCAAAATCCGTTGCGTAGTTTTAAAGATTTAAGCATACATAGAAACGGACAGACAGCGACAGTGACTTTGTTTTATACTATATAGTAATAGTGATGATACTTCCTGTATGGTAAGGCAAAGTTAAAAATAGCATTGACAAAACAAGGACCAATGAGTAATCATAAGAAATACAACAAACAACTAACTAATGCAGTAAATATAAATATTAGGACCTGAAAATGTTTGGCAGCCAGTTTGAGGGAGTCCTCGGTGTCAAGAGGCTGCTGAGCGGCGATGGTGCTCTGCATCGCAGCAATGTTGAACAGTATACACATCCGCTCGTAGGCCAGGGAGCTTATGGCTGTGGGAGTCATACAGTGAATATAAGAATAGTATGAATACTTGAATATCTATACACAAAAATAAAATTGGAGTGTCTGTTTGTAATATTGAAATAATTGTTTTTTACAACATGCATATGAATGGATATGGTACATATACCAAAGTAACATTTTTTAGAATTTTTTTCTGTCTGTCTGTCTGTTCTGGCGAAACGATTTTGGCGGGACTTTTTTGGCAGGTAGCTCACATACTTACTTTTATTTTAGAAAATCAGAGTTACATTCCATGCGGATGAGGTAGCGGGAACAGGTAGTAATAAACAAGTATGTAATTGTTATAATCTTAATATAATATTCTCATGTCACAATGTTAGTTATCATACTACACCAAAAGAGCTGTATAGATTTCTGTGGCATTAAAAATACATAAATAAAAGGTATAGAGTCATAACATTATAGTCCTCTAGAATGGGAATGCAATGACTATGGTGCTTTTCAATATATATACTATATTAGTTGCTTTTCACCACCAATTAGTCAGTCTGCTTGTCATTTCAGGTTTACAACAAAATCATTTGAATCATGTTAAACAAAAAGAATAATGTTACATGTATAAAAAAATAAATAAATGTTTGGATCAACAGAAAATGTTAGGTAGACAGTTAATGGCAATCACAATACATCTATAGGTATCACAATAGATCAATACATCTATGGGGATCTATGGGTATGGGTATCATAGCACTTGACAATAGCCCAAAACCACAATAAAAATATTAGGTAGACAGTTTGCAGAACCATATACAAATATATAAAAAGTTATAATGAATAATAATTTTATAATTATACAACTATGACAATAAAACAATTACATAAATAAAACCATGATTTTTTAATTTAGAAAGTTATATAAATAATCTATAGTATTAAATCTACACAACACAAATTCAGTAGATATAGAAGTACTATTTACACAATGTAACAAAGAAGAATGATACAACTGCAACAGTTTCAGTATAAAACATTGCAACTGAGATATGATAGACATATAGTTAAGAGTTCTTAAGTTAACATTAACAAATCAAGGTAGAGTTATTAAGGTAGAGAGAGGTACTCACTTAGACTCATCCGGCCTCCAAAAATAGAACCCTTGTCAAAGGCATCCTTCCACTTAAATGGTATCTGCACCTCCTGCGGTGGGATCTTACTTTCCAACCGCACCAGTTGGTCATAGTAGCTGCACAAAGAGGCATCATATTCTGTGTTACTATTATACACACTCACAGAGCGAGCCGAGCTGACCATGCGACGTCATTTCATCTAATAACGCGACTATGACATCAGATTTGTTACGATTTCGGCATCGGCTACTTAACTAAGTTTAAATTGAATAAACATGAAGCAATAAATTCACAAATATATTTTAAGAATGATTCAACCACTGACCATGAGTCATTGAGAACAATTACTTCGTTACCTACCTGTAAATAACATCCAAAGAAGATTTCTCAAACACTTTCCAAATAGCGTTGGTCCTGAGGCGGCTCAATTCGTTAAGCGCTTCGCTGTAGTCCTCATTGCTCTCCCCGGTATTGTAAGTAGATTGAATTAGATTCTTCAATGGTTTCACAATATCAACATCGGAGGATTTTTTAAAAGGTACAAACAATAATTCAGCCATTTCTGCAAATGACTGTCAATATACTGACATGACAGATCAGCAGGAAGTAAGGTAAACAATTAATTGTCAGGTTTGACAAATCGACAGTGACAACCAAAGTGACAGAATATAATTGTTTATGATGGGTACAGCACAGGTGCCAAGTTATACAGCCTGAAGCAAGTTTTCACTTTTTCATATGTTTTATTATATTCATTATGTAATTTTATATTAGTATTTATCTGTTTAATTGGTAAAAAAATCCTTATTAAGTGTAAAAGGAATTCAATAAACAGTTGCATGTACAAAAAACAGAATGACGGAGATTTCACATTTCAATTGTTTCGTCTATCGCTAAAAAAATAAAGGAATGCTAAAAAATATGAAATAATATGTGATTAATATTAGTATTTACCATAAGAAAATCATTAAATTAGTAGTGTTTTAAATATACATACAATATTCCATTAAAATTTGAAGTTAAAATGGTAGTCAAAACTAAACTTGGAATTAAAGTGTAAGTAAAAATTATTTATTGAGTTCGTACACGTGTACCTATAACGTGAATTGAAATAATTGTCAAATCTGCCCTAACAAGCCATATCCATAAATGACTTCACACATGTTGTGAGAGGAGTCCTGAATTTCGCGACGCCATAGATTTTCCTAGCAAATTTGCAAAAACTAAGCAGGATGTTTTCAGAAAAATCACGCCAGGGTCGACCTGAAAAACGAACTCTACTACGACTAACGAACTAGCATTGTAGCACCATTGTAAGCTAGTGCCTATGCTGTATCTTTTGGTTCTAATAATGTATACTTAAGTCTAATACATAAAAGTCTCGTGTTTATACTTCTCCGAAACGGCTTGACAGAATATGATGAACTTTTTTGTGTATATTCAGTAGCTCTGAGAATTGGTTTGTAAGTAATTTTTATACCCCTAAGTGTTTGCTCTAGGTGGCTCACCCCAAAAAAAATATTATGAGGCATTAAAAATACATACAGCCCTAAATTATAACCCTTCTACCACCAACCCCTATTTTTTTACAGCGATATTAATTTATATGGCAAAACAACGTTTCCCGGGTCAGCTAGTAATATATACATATATAGGTATAATAATCACTTGTCCTTGTCTCCGTTACTTAAGTATATATTCTATATGTAGGTATCTACCTACATATTTATTATACCTACAAGATTACCATACAAATACAAACATTCAATGGTAGTATAGTAGTAAGAGTAGAACATGCGCGTTGTGATCGGTAATCAGGGGCGGGCGGCGGGAGGGCGGGCGGAGCACGCTAGTCGGCGGAGGGCACCGCCGCGGTGTCCCGTGCTCCGTGTCCTAGCAGCTACACGGTGCACCAGCCTTCATACGATATGTAAGTTACATTACGTCTGCTCGGAAGACCTACACTGTACATATAAACATCACTTCGGAACTGTGGCTGCGAGCCCGCGGCGACGCGCCGGTGCTGTCGAGAGCCGTGCCACGGAAGTCATGCCACGAGACAAACTGTTGCTCCGCACGCAATCGATACATTCTAAATGTGCTTTTGTTGTGGACGCGACTGACAGTGTTATCACGTATTAGAGTACACAGGTCTCAAGTATTTACCTATCACACGTGAGTAGCTAATAACAACTTAGCAATAAATAACTATCGTGCCAGCCGCTTTATGTATTAAATAGGTCTGTTCTGAGGGCAAATAATATACATAATCTGGGTGTATTATGAATGACGCCGTAATGTTAGAATGCTAGTGGTGTTGAAATGCATTCGTTGCATAATGCGGTAGTGTTGTTGGCACGGTTGCCAGGTTGCCAGGAAGACGCGTCGTGAACCGCCCGCGCCGAGCGACTCCATGCTACGTCGTAGACATGTTGTGACATTATGTCGATATTGTTCCGGTAGATAAATGGAAGCTAACTTTATTCATAATCGTAATACGGTTTTAAAATTTGGTCTAAGAAACTGTTTCCATTCTTTATAAGATTACTGCAATGCTTAATTATAAATTGAATGGCTGCCTGATAAGGATGGGCTGATAACACAAAAGCACCATAGTAATAGGTAGCACTTGTAATATATTCATAAAGATAATAAATATCATACAAAACACCAGAAATTTCGATCTGTAGCATGCTATAAGGGTGGTGCCTGTAGGCAAATGATAGGTACGACATTTGAGTGTATGCTGTATGGATTATTATCATAATCTGCTTTTGGAGACTGGTCTGTTCAGGTTGCAACACTGATTAGATTTTTTGTTTTTTCTATATGCTGTTAGTCACTCTCCCAAATTTGAACTTAAATGACTTTGTAAACAAGTAAAACATTTTTTTGAAAAGAATATGAGCCGAGTTTATTATCAGTTCTTCTCATCTCGAAAATCATTCCGAACTGACGGTAGATTTGACATATCATAAGAGTCTGTAATAGACCTAGGTACATGAATAAAGATACATATTTTGAATTTGCATTTGAATAATCAATGCTTATATACTACTTACTACATACATCCTTACAATGCAATGTTGGACTAACATTAAATCCAAGTTAATTACCTGGTAACATGATAGCCAGCGCTTGGGCAGATATGACTGGCGTGCCTAAACGTACCTTCAACGTTTGGGAGTTGTTATATGTAGGTACTTTTAAAGTTAGTAATGATTATATGTAAGGAGTAATACTTAGAAATTTTACAATTACAGCATAACATAACTACTTATTTGATAAGTCGTGTAAAGTTGTCGTGTGTATGTTTTTTAAATTTTTAGGCCGTTTGCCACCGCGTTCTGGTTTGTTTGGTAGGACCTATTAAATCACAGAACTTGTTGAATTGTAGGTAAATCGTCCGTATTCCACGGTTGTCCAACCGCTTCCCGCGACGACAATACGGTGGTACCACGTGGGTAAAGTGTCTCAAATGAAGCAGTGTGTACATTAGATATTTTTAGCCAATAATTTACAGAATCAAAGCGGATGATGTGAAAGCGGTTGGCCGCAATCGAGATCTGATCATCGTCACCGCTCCGCGTAACATCACCGATTCTAGGTGCGCACCTAAATATCGTAGTAGGTACCTACAGATAATCTTGTTTGCTACCTACGTAGTAAAAAAAAGTGAGTCGCATATGTACTCACTAACATACTCAGCAGACTCACAAATATTATCCATACCATCAAAGCTTTTTTGTCCTATATATATATGATGATAGTATATTAAACGCGCCTTCACTATCTAAAACAACACTCCAGGATTACGTGAGCAGCCGTTTCTTCGGCTTCAAAGCAACCCCTGAAGAATTGTATCAAACTATACTGATAGATCGTGTGGACAGGTCAGCCCAGTGGAAGCCGACGGCATCAATATTAAAAAATAGTATATAGTATGAGATTACGCAATTAAGTTGATTTAGGTTCGTATTTCTTGTTTTTTAGAAACAATCCAGAGGCTGATGCGGTTGACGTGATAGATTTGGGTGCACCGCGGCGTCTGGGTGGACTGTGCTCGGAGACTTCGCCCCCGTCGCGCACCACTCGGGCACCACGCGCCTACACGCCCAACCCGAGGCTGTGAGTGTGGATCGAAATGTCTTAGGTCACTCCTTCTAAAAAATATTATAGATATTGAGCTGACAAGTAAGAGCAAATAGTAAATAGAAAGGTGTTTCACAGCGGCCATAAGCTGGACATTAAAAGACAGGTTGTATATTTCCACCACTTATTGAAAGACATGTAAGCTATTTATGAATTTATGATACAGGTATCCGGGACCGCCGAAAACTAAACCGAAATCGAGACGCTCCGAGGGGCAAGAGCGACGTCGAAAGCGCACGTTTCGGCGGCCGGTGCCCAACGCGCGGCTGTACCGGCCCGCGCCCGCCGCGCCCCCGGCCGCCGCCTGGCCCCGCGCCGCGTCGCGTGTCCCCTGGTTCCCCGTGAGCGCGGGCTCCGGGTGGCCGCCGCCGGCGCCCCGCGTCGTGAACACCGCGTCCCGCGCCGCGCTGCGTGTCTGCGAGCGGCGCCGGTGCTCGCCCCCCGCTCCCCCCGCTGCCCCCGCTGCCCCCGCAGCCCCGCGGCGGCTGGTGGTGCGGCTGCCGGCGGCGGCGGCGCGCGCCATGGACCCGCGGCCTCGCTGCAGCCCCGACGAGGGCTCGGACGGCAACGACGCCGCCGGCGCACCCAGCGAGTTCCTCGCGGAGGTAAATTCCCCGAATATCGCCTTTTTTAACAATTATTTCCTTCCGGTCGAAAACGTCTAACATGGTTAAGAAAGTTGTATTATGAAGCTTAGTGAAAGTCAGCTTCAGTTCCGAGGGCGGTGGTAGGTCGATTGAAGGTAGGAGCAGCACCCTCGCAAACATGTCAATTACTATCAAATCATATTTAGTTAAACCTATATATTATAACATATAAACTAACATCTGAGATGGCACGAACGATGGAGAAAAAAATAATAAAAATTAATACAACAACTTTCTACATTCTCGACAGATATTCAGCTAAAATGTCCTCCATGAAGAGATGTTGATTTAAACATGATAAAGATAAATCAGTGATTTTCTCTCATGTTAAAATTCAATTAGATGTTAGTTTATATGCTCATTTTGAATAAATAAATATTTCTAACCTTCACTAAACTTCGTAATACAACTTTCATCACCATTTTAGTAGTAAGTTTTTGACCACGAAAAAGTTGGTAACGTGGAGTTGTTCCTGGCTTACTGTCCAAAACTGCCGAAGGCTTCCCAACGTAGTAACGAGTGGACTGCTACTACTGTTGACAGTTCCTGTCGGCGATCATGCAGCGGCAGTACGCGGAGGCGCTGAAGTACTGCCGGCTGATCCTGCAGTACGAGCCGCACAACGCCACCGCGCGCGGCTTCTACCCCCTACTACAGCACAAAGTGAACGCTCATAAGCAAACAGGTAATTGTTCTATAAATATATATATATACAAGTAAAGCGTTTACAAGCCTCCTAGAATAGTTCGATATCATGTAACGACTATATTTATGT